TAATAACAATATTGGTGTGTAAAAATCGCAATTTTTTTGTTATAAGTTTATAAATATCTTAGCCCAATAATTTTCTCCTTTTCAGTCTATTAGGCCACTGCTTGGCCAGATACAGGAGGAGCTTTTTATCCCTTCAGTGGTAGTTGGAGTAATAATTAAATATAATCGCCTTAATCTTCCTAGGAAGATCAAGAAAATGCTGTCATTCATAATTATAACGTTCCTGAAGAACTATTAAAACAAGTTACAGTGCATTTTATTACACTACCTAAGTACCTACATGCAATTATTTCAATTTCTAATTTAATAAACAAGACTTGGCAGTTAGCATTTTTTTAGCATATTAAAGTGTGATCTAGTATTTCCGCTAAAGTCTAGGATTGTTTCTCTTCCCTAGACAAATCTGCAGCACCGCTCGATCGTCAAACAAATGTCAATGTCATCAATGTCATTTTTGTTTTCCTTTTATGCTAAGTTGAAAGTAGGGATGCCGAAAGTGAAGAAATATATCGATATTTATAAAAATATCAATATCATCTTCGATATATCTAAGAAGAAATATCGATATATCGATATTTTCTTTGTAGGCCCTGTTATCCAAAAAAAAAGAAAACATGTGCCAACTATTAAATATTTGAATGTACCGACTCTTCTCGGATCTCTTAATGAATTAAGCTGGACTCAAGCTACGCTGCCAATTCGTTTTGGTGGTATCGGTGTAAGGAAAATTTCTAGTGTCGCTCAACCTGCCTTCCTTTCTTCCTTGCATAGCGTAAATAATTTATGTAATAATATCCTTAATAACAATTCAGGTCTTTCCTATGCATAGGAGGTAAGGATGTCTTGGCTGCCTATCTGCTTTAACGAAAATATCCCGCTGGAAGTAAACCTACAAAAACAGTGGGATGTTCTTTTGGTGCGGAGAGTACAGAAAGATACGTTTCCTAGGTGTCTCATCTCAAGAATCGAATACTTACTTTACTTGACGATGAAAGCTTACGCATTGTTGTAGGAATCCGTCTGGGGGCACCGATTTGTCAACCACACCAATGCCCTTTTGGTGTCAGTGTAGACAAATTTGGTCCCCACGGGCTTTCTTGTCAAAAAAGTTTTGGCCGCTTTTCCCGCCACGGTTCCCTGAACGACATCATCCGTAGGGCTCTTGTTTCCATCAATGTTCCATCAATTTTAAAGCCCTGTGGCATTTTTCACGACGATGGTAAGAGACCCGACAGTTTAATTTTGATCCCTGAGACAAGGCAGTCTTTGTTTGGGACGCCACTTGTGTAGACACTTTGGCTACCCCTCATCTATGGGTACTTCGGTCAGGGCCGGGGTGGCATCGGAGGCAGTTGAAGTAAGTAAATGGCGCAAATATGAGTCTTTATGTTTAGATTTTGTATTTGTGCCATTTGCTGTTGAAACTTTAGATCCGTGGGGTCCCCGCAAATGAAATTTTTTTTTTAAACTTTATGTTGTAGGCTTAACGCCGTGGCTGGTGACAAGAGAGCTGATTCTTTTTTCGCTCAAAAGTTAAGCATAACTATTCAGCTAGGAAATGCAGTTAGAGTTCTTCGCCCCATGCCACGTGGATTAGGTTTGTCAGATAATATGTAATTTTAGATAGATTTAATCTTGTAAATATTAGATAAAAAAATATAGTTTTTGACACGATTTCAATATTTAATATTTTATATCGATGTATCGGATCAAAATTTATTGGCTAAAATATCGATACTTATTAACAAAATATCGATAAATCGATAATTTTTCGGCTTCCCTAGTAGAAAATTCATGGTAGGTAAAAAAATATATCGATATTTTTCGCATCGACATATTGAAAAACTATCGATAATCGAGGAAAAAATATCAATATATCGTCAGTTTTTGCATAATTATTCATACTTAGTTACAAATGAATCGTAAATTCGTGAATTCGTAAAAAAGAATAGACAAAGTTAGATAGAAAGATTTTTTAAAGTTAACCATGCGCGAGGAGCATGCAAAGAGTATTTCGTAACATTAAAAACAAAACCAGAGTTAAAAATATATCAATAGTGATTAGTGACACGAATTCAATAGTCTATAATAAATATTGAACAGCCATATATCGTGATAAAAAATATCGATAATTTATATCGACACTTTCTATGGACTTTACGCGGCAAATAATGGCGGACATTCCTATCACTCTCCCTCAATGCGATTTCTCTTTCTTGCAATACAAGAAGTGCCATGTTGTTTGTCAAAACTTCATTTCGAACAAAACTTCATTTCGAACCGCGTATTTTCTCACGAAAACTAGAGACAGGTGTAAATTCAAAATTATTTCCGAAATTTGTGGAAAATCGAGCATGTCGTTCAAATTTAAAAAAGAAGATTTCCCTAAGAACTTAAATATGATAAATTAAGAGCAGGCTAAGAACAAATAAAATTAACAAATTTATCTCATTTAAATTGTGTGCTAGTGATGTACTGCAACTGTAATATCCACATATCGATAACATCCTTATTTTGAATCATTGAAATAAAATAAGAAATAAGATATTGAGTGAAAGAGTAGGGGTAGAATGCTTTACATATTTGAATGGCGCACCTACATAAATGAGCAATAATCGTTATAGGCTGTACAATTTTGTAGGATTTAGAAACATAATCTTTATATGATATGATATTGATATGCCACATAATTGATTTCGTGTGCCGAGTACGCAAGAAAAAAGTATTTATGTGTTTGTACCTAATACTCCTGATACCAATAAAGTGGTCATGATAAGCCCACAATAATTGTTTAATCTGGTAACTTGGGCGGCGCAAACATGCATCTCTAAGTTTTTTAATAATATTATTGTTTATATAGAGTTATATAATTATCACGTTCTCGGCAGTGAAGGAAAACATCGTGAGGAAACCTGCATTTTTTCGAAATAATAACAAAAAAAACATTTCAAAGATATGTGAAGTCCGCCAATCCGCAGTGGGGCCGCGTGGTGGTCTATGCTCTGATACCCTCTTTACAGAGGAGGCCTTTGCCCTGCAGTGGGACAGCTGATACTTTACTATTATTGTTTATGGTCACTCACCCCTAAATTATCTACTTTGATCTTCGGTATCAATATTTATGATTTTAACGAGAAAAACATTTATATAATTTTAATAAAAAAAATTTCAGATACAAACAGTGGGTCAAACTGGTAGGAAAAGAAGATTTAGCATATATTCCCATTGAAAAACTGCATTCATTAAGATATGTATACTTTGACGACAGAGCATTTAATAAAAAAAAGAATGAAAAGAAGAAAGATATGTACCGAGTTACTAGATCCAGCCTGGAATAATGAAGCTTTAATGTCATTTATCCCTTGAAAGCTTTTTTCTGAACATCAAGGTTATTTTTTTATTATTTTTACAAAATTGTTATAAAATTTCTTGAAAATTATTAAAAAACATGTAAATTCTAGATTCAGTTTTACTCGGTATTGTATGAATACAAATAACTGTGTTATTAAGTTCTGTTATTTCAATAAATCTTAGATTTCTTACTAAGATATACGAACCATCGTATTTTTATGACATATGCAGCAGTTGTATAATTTTGATGTATTGTGGAACCATCTTCTAATATCATATTGTGTTAGGTAATACATAAAACATCACCACATGCCCTTACATTATGTTCTGCCCTTTTTTAGTTTTCAAATATGTAAGTTTATGTTTTTTAATGGATTATTATTTTTTCATTATACAATATGTTCATACTTGATTTAAAGATTCCAAAGTTTGAAGATTATTTTTTTATTTAAAAATTCATTTTCGTTTGAATATTTAATTTCAGTACAATAGAAATTTTAATTGTTTATAGTGCTAATCTTTGCACTTAAGATTGAACATTAAAATATGTAGAAAAAGTGCGAAAAGATTGTCGTTTTTCTACATATTTTAATGTTCAATCTTAAGTGCAAAGATTAGCACTATAAACAATTTAAGTTTCTAAAAAAAGCAATGATTCTAAAAACATCGAATTATCGTTGTAAAACGATATTCGAAATTGTTTGTATGCTGGAAAGGATATAACAATAGATGGCGCCAAGCATTGCTTTTAAATGCTAAGAAAACAATGTAGAAGAATGCGTCAAGATTTTCGTCGGTGTGGCAATCAGCCGTTTAGCTCAGTGGCTAGAGCGTCAGGCCGCGAATGCCGAAGACGTGGGTTCGATTCCCACAGCGGCGACAATCTTTTCGCACTTTTTCTACATATTTTAATGTTCAGTACAATAATAAAATTTTAATTAAATTCGCAGAAACTGTTTTTTATTTTAAATCGGGTCCGCATTTAAGTCCAATCTTGTATTATTACCAAATATCCCTTCAATAACATTGGCCATAAATACGGACTTGATACTCACCTAAAATTAATAAAAAAATATTAAGAGGGAACCTCGGTTTCTACCTAGTATATTTATCGATATCGATAAGAAGCTAAGCTAGCTTGGTTAAGCACTATTTGGCTCGTTACGTTGGTACTCCTGTTGTTTGACATCTTTGTGGTATGGTTGGTATTAGAGTGCCGCGTAAACTGATAGTTTTGGCTAGTATGGGAGTCCCGTCTCTTAAACGTAGTGATTACATTCTCTTTGGTATAGTATAGTATTGTCAATTTCAATACGATATATTATATTGTTAATGTTAAAAATAAATATAAGTGCATTTAATATAAACAACAAAATAATTGTCTAATTTTACACAATTTTATGAAGGCTACATAAATTACTGTTTTATTAAAGATTGTTTGCTCAAAATTTGTTAAAAATTATTCAAAAGTTATTATAATGAATGAAATGTTATTAATATAATATTAAAAAAAGAGCAACGTACTGAAAATGTCACGTAGATTCCTATTCTTACTTGCCGCGACTGTGGTATTGTTATATTTTTCTATTATAGTGTTTATTTTAAGTCCTCTACACGGCGCTAAAGGCGTGTATTACGGCAATAATTACATGAATCATTTTGGAATACGCCAAGCTCCTAACGTAAATTGGTGCAAGGAGCTGCGTTGGCGATCACCTCCTTCACCAAACACAGTAGCACTTGTCTCTTACCCTGGTAGCGGTAATACTTGGTTAAGATATCTTCTGCAGCAAGTTACAGGTAAGTTTCCAGTATGTTGGGATATTTGCAATGCATTTTAAATGATAGATTAACTATACTTTATTATATTATTTATATATAAGCTTAAGTTTGCATTCAAGATAACAAATTATTATGGAATAATAAGTCATGAAAGCTCAGCGTTTGCGCACTTATTTAATTCAGTTGACTTGAATAATGTCTATGTAGAACATATCCAAGTGTTAACACCATTTATAAGAGCTACAACTGAAATCCGATATCGATCCGAAATCGATGTGTGAATTAAGCTAATCTATGTTATATGATGTGTTTTATTTTAATACAGAGTTTTCATATTAAATTTCGTGCTTGGTGGTTCAAATAAATGGTTTAACCGTGTAGGATATGTCAAAATAATTAATAGGTGAGTACCAGTAAAATATGTCTCATTTTATTTGATACTCAGCTATTATTGTTTTATATTTCTTATTCTTGCTAATGAAATTATTTATCATAGCCAAACAACATGCTCCTCAGAATAATTATTACCAACAGAGATAAGTAAACAATATCCACCTGGCATGAAAATCTCGACTAATAACTATTTCATTGCTGCATGTCTTTACATTTCTGCAACAATACCTTTACTAAGAACAAGGCTTCTCTCATGCTCACTCCTTTAAAGTATATGGTAAGTTCCTTGTTGGCTGAAGTTCTTACGGCAGTGCCAAGGCATTAATAGGGTGCATCCTTATTACCTTTGTCATTTTATAAGGTGATACTGTATGCAAATCTTTTGTTACAGCTTAATCTCCTGGACTAAGCTGTACTACACAGCACTAATCTAAACAAGAGTTTAATATGAAAAATGTATTTTAAAATAACAATACCCATGTAACACCTATCATTAGTGTTAGTCTACCTTTCATATAAAATCGTGAGGACAACTGAATATTTTCAAAATAATAACAAAAAAAATATTTCGCAAATTTGTGAAGTCCATCTATTGTCTAATACCTAATCTGTGCAGAGGAGGCCTTTGCCCAGCAGTGGGATATGTATAGTAGTGAAGTCTGTTGGTTTACTTCCCAACAGATTGCTTGGGGTATAAATAGTTATATCGGAAGCTTGCCCTTTTATATATTGGATACATACCTATTTGGTCTGGCCGTACGCGGTTTTCATTATCAAATAAACCGCTTGCACCAGCAAGTGGTTTACTTGTAAGCCATTATGATCTCTTTGAAATTAAATTAAAGGGAATAAATGTGTACATTTTAAGGTATAGTAACGGGCTCAATCTACATGGATTATGGTCTTCGGGTGCACGGGTTTCCCGCCGAAAACATCACAGATGGGTCTGTCCTTGTGGTTAAAACTCATGAAGCCCCACCACTCGAGCCTAGTAAATTTAAGTCGGCCATTATACTCATAAGAAATCCAAGAGACGCAATATTGGTAATATTCAAAAAAATATATTTTTGGTTATGTTTATTATGGCAATTTTATTTTTGTAAATGTTAATATATTAATTTTTTTTCGCCTTATGTATTTCCTTTATGTTGTGTTCACCATAGTTGGTAGTGAAATTAGTAATTATGTACACACTTTATCCCACTTGTTACATTATAATTGTTGTCATATCTCATAGTCTGATCTAAAGATCAAAAGACAGATTATAATGTAACAAAATAAGTATCTTAAAACACACCATTTTTTTCTAAATACCTTGCATGTTTAACAATCCCTTAATGTTTTTTTAGTTTCAGTTAATGTGGTGCTGACAGTGTTTTTTAATAATAGCTTTCAGCTTTTGCTCCTAAATTTATGGTAAATATTTTTTACTTTTGCAAATTTTACAATGTTTTTATAATTATGCCTGTGCTTTTTCAAAAATTATAGTTATAACTATCAATTATAAGATTATTATATAGTTCATTTTGAATTTACAGGCAGATTTTAACCGGCTACATAAAGGTCACATAGGAACGGCACCAAAGTCAGCTTTTAATAAAAAGTCACAAGAAGACAAAAGTACTGGTTTGTATTATTATAATTGCAAACAATTTGTTTAAATAAGTGTTAGCTTTCAAAAGTTTCCAAAATATGTAGGTAGATAAAAAATAAGGATTGATAAATTTTAAAGTTTTTTATAGTGCTAATCTCTGCACTTAAGATTGAACATTAAAACATGTAGAAAAAGTACGAAAAGATTGTCGCCGCAGTGGGAATCGAACCCACGTCTTCGGCATCATAGATGCGCCAAGCATTGCTTCAAATGCTAAATAACAATGTAGAAAGAAGGCATTAAGATTTTCGTCGCTGTGGCTATCAGCCGTTTAGCTCAGTGGCTAGAGTGTCAGGCCGCGAATGCCGAAGACGTGGGTTCGATTCCCACAGCGGCGACAATCTTTTCGTACTTTTTCTTCATGTTTTAATAAGGATTGACTTTGTGGGCATTAATAGAACATTGGAAATAACATAAATTATAATTTAAATTACAGATTGGTCAGTTTATGTAACGACGCAGTTAAAAGCATGGGAGGCTCTTCATAATTTATGGCTGAGCAAATTCCCTGGGCCAGCATACATTGTGTCCTATGAGACACTGGTTAAGGACACCAGAAACACTCTACAAGGGATACTGAATTTTTTAAACGTTACTGTTACGGAGGTGAGTTTAGACATATTACGATATAATAATCCTCTCGTGGGGTGTCTAGGAAAGAAACACACCCACCCTTTCGTCCCAAAGGTTTCGTAGGAGGCGAAAGTTGGAAAAAAAAAGAAAAATTTGAAAGTTGGGCAGCAGCAACTTCCATGCAAATGCCATTTATTTATTTATTTTATTTGGGAAACATACAGTATACACTACACTTATAATTCTTATAAATAACTTATACAAACACCAGTTAAGTTCCTATAATAGGAAAATGGTAAATTAATAGAAAATATATAGTTAAATAACAAAAAGCAATTACAATCCATAACTGCGGTCCCCAAAACCCCAATGACATGGTCCATGGTCCCAAGTTCCCAGCGGATCTGCTATCCCTGGCGGTCTTGTTAGCGGGCAAAGTACATATAGGGTAGGGTGCTGAAAATTTCCAGCAGATTTTGCGCTACAACCCCAAACGGAGTAATGTCCCACATTGACATTGTGGTAAAGCTTGATAGTCTGTTCAATAGGGTAGTGTATCTTAAAATCAGAACGGCCGATTGGTATTTGCTGAATGTCATACCGATATCGGCACATCGCGATGAAGCCGATGTGATGTTTGAGGAAATATAAACAGCCATATATAAGGTACATAACAAAATCTATTTCCCAGTTGTTATGGGGGATTTGACGCAATACAAGCGGGAGCATATGGATATGGGCAGTAGAACCAATGGGGCCAGAAACTAGTTACTTTATGCAGCAGGAGGGAAGTTACTTGATGAACCCCTTCTACGAGTAGCGCCCTATCTGAAAGTGGATGTGGATACTTCTTTCATCGTAACCGGAAATTCTCAGAGAGCTTGAAAGGTTTTACGGACAGTTCTACACCTCTACATGTGAACCCGTTTTAGGAACGGCTAAGCCAACCTTACCCGGCACTACACAGAGGCTGGACCTTTTTTACTTTTTTACCACGCCAAAAGAATGACATAGAAGTGTGGTGTTGTTTTTAATGAAAAAGTGAGATAAGACCCAGTTGAAAAATTATAAACCTCTCTCGCTCCTGAGTCATGAATATAAACTGTTTATAATAAATTCGTTAACAAGCCGGATTCCAAAAAGGCGTTAGCGTAATAGATCACAAGCGGTATTGCAGTCCCTTCAGTGACGGCACGTTAATGGCATGGTGAAAGATGGGGTGTGACTTAATAGAGCGCGGTTCGATGGACGTGGGGCAAGGGTCACATCGTTTTCTGTGGTATAGGACAAAATTGGATCCTATAAATATGGAGGACGTTATGAGGTCATTGAAATGTTGGACGGTGAAAGGTTTTATCTCAAGAGTTTGAGTAATCATGCATACTGGTATGCGAGGGACGGCTTTCGTCCACTTCCCCAGTCCTGTGTTCTAGCCGGATTGGATCCATGTCTGTTGGATGACAGTGATGAAACGATTTGTAGAAAATTTGTATTGTTGCAAATGGTTCGTTATCGGAGTGTGTGTATGTGTGTGGCCTTCAGTGATGCAATCGACTATAGGTAGGTCGCAATAAAATTGCAGAGAGACCACCTTTCTCCGTAACTGTTCACGACCGCATTGGAAGATGTTTTCAAGCTCTTGGATTCGGCATCAAAACCAACGGTGAATAAATCACTCACCTTTGTTTTGCCGATTACGTAGTCATCATGGCAGAGTTGCTCGAAGACCTGTATAATATCCTCAGCGACCTTAGAAACGTTTTGCAACAGGCAGGTTTTAAAACGATCATGGGCGAGACGAATATCACGTGCACCGAATGTTCATGTTGCGCCCGTACCACTATGTTTTGTCTTAGCAAACTTACCTTAGGCAAACTGTTTTTTTTTTGGCTGGATGACACACTGTTGGCCTTAGGGGCCTTTACAGATCCGACGGACTTGAGTTGGCCGGGCGCTCGAGGCGCCTAGCCTGAACCTCGCGTATTATTATTACGCGTTATGGTGACTAAGCTCGAGGGCTTCGGAGGGTACCTCGGCTCGGGCCGTCACGTTATTATTTTCACCGGTTTGGGAGGCCGCCAAGCTCTTAGGGCGCTTTAGCGGACGCTCCGTGGAGTGATCAGGCTCGAGGGTCCCCGAGAGGGGACCTCGGCTTGGGCTGTCACTCAGCACGCGTTTAGCATTCGGATTCGAGGGTGCCCGAGAGGGCCGGACCTAGGCTCGATCGGTACCTGTTATCTGACTGGGGGGATTTCTAGAGCTATCATTACCACTTCGTAAAGCGTTGGCGCTGGGAGAAGAAGTGGCGGAAGAAACTCCAGCAACGCTTCCATCATTAACTGGGGAGAACCTGCCAGGTACGTGGCGGAACCTAGTATATGTTTGCCGCACTCGCCGGCGAGTGCGGTGTGTATTGGTGTGTTTGCGTAGTTTTTTAATCCTTTCGATGGCGATAGTCGTCTCATCGTCAGGGAAGTCGAGAACGTGTCGCGGTCTACGGTGATTGCGGCGGAACGTACCTAGCGGCATGGGTCTGTAGGTGGCGGCACCTACGATTAGCGGGTTGGGATGCGCGGCGGCGGAATCAAAGTATCGGCGCGACGCCGTCTTCAGGAATTGCGCGATGGTGGGCAACTCTAAATCGACATGTAGATCGATATTGCGCATAAACCAGGGTGCTCCCGTGGCTCTGCGCAAGAATCAATTTTGGATGACCTGAAGCCGGTGTATTTGCTTCGGAGCAATGTGTGCGAAAACCGGACTCGCGTACATGATAATAGGGCGAACTACTGCCTTATATAATGTCACCTTGTTCCGAAGGGACATTTTTGACGTTTTATTGAGGAGCGGATGGAGGCGACCGAGTACGAAGGCGGCCCGGTTCTTGACCCGAGTCACGTGCTGGCTGAATTTAAGTTGGGAGTCGAGGACGACACCTAAATATTTGACTTTGTTCTCCCATGGTACCGGATTATCCATGAGTTTAACGGGGGGTAGGCAAACTGTGCGATTTAGTACAACTATGACAAAGATGTCGATCGAAGAATCCAATTTGTCGTCAAAGATTCCGCAGTGTCGTGGTCTTTTAGAAAAGCTCAGGGTCACTCAACGAGCTACGGAGAGAGCTATACTCGGAGTTTATTTGCGCAATAAGGTCCATAACTAGGTAATTCGCTGAAGACCCAGAAGAAAAAAAAAGACCCAGAATTATTGACACAGCTCTCCGAATTACTTAGTTGAAGTGGCAATGGAAAGGCCACATCGCTCAGAGAACTGTTGGCCGATGGGGAATAAAAGTTCTGAGGTGGTTACCACGAATTGGAAAACTTAGCGTTGGGTCTCGCGCTAGGTGCACCGAAGACATTGTGAGAGTCGCGGCTAACTGATGGAAATAAATGGCAAAAATCATTCATTGTGGCGTTTCACGAGGGAGAATTTTGTCTCGGAACAGTGGACATGTCTCGGCTAATGATGACTTCTAAACTTGCGAAAATTATATTATCTAAGTTAGAGATAAATTTGAGAGTTCGATTTGCGTGCTATTGTCTATATCTTCTTCTTATATATAAAAATGGATTGCTGTTCGTTAGTCTCGCTAAAACTCGAGGACGGCTGGGCCGATTTGGCTAATTTTGGTTTTGAAATATTTGTGGCAGTCCAGGGAAGGTTTAAACGATGAGAAATTATGGAAAAATTGCATGGCAAATCGAAATAGCAACAAGTTTATTTTCCCAAACAAACTGTACCTGTCAACCTGGCAAACGATTTTGAACACGTTCCGATTCCTCTAGAAATAATTTATAAAAAAACCTTTGCCGAATCAGCTAGTCTAGAATAAAAAGTTCAATATGTACACCATTTATTCATGTACGATAATGAATCTGTATCGAAAACACTTTAAATAAATTCTATTCTCTATGGCTCCATTTGGCCATTACCGATTGAATTACAAATAGGCTGTTTATTTTAGGATGACATGAAATGCGCTTTATTGCACAAAGAGGGCATCTACAGACGCAAGAATAAACATCAAAACTTCGACCCTTTCACTCAAGACATGTACCAACGTTTACACGTAGTAAAAGAGAGGGTGCTGAGAAACATACAGGATTATAGGAGGAAGGTTAATGACACAAATATAGCTAAAGATATTTTTTAAGTATTACATTATTCAAAAGGACTCAGTGCAGTGTTAACGCGTAATATAATTTAAATAATTCCCAAAAGCCATTTTAATTAATGGTAAGTGAACCCCATTCCATTCCTTTTCAATCGACTTCAAAAAAGAAGAAAGTTTCTCAATTCGACCGTATATATTTTTTTGTGTATTCGCGGGTAGCTTCGTCGTTTATGAACCGATTTTGATGATTCTTTTTTTTTTGTTGGATAGGAGGTATCAGAGGGATGGTAAAATGATAACTGACTTAAGCCCCATTTACACGATACAATTTTCTTGAACATACAAGAGCAGTAATTGAATGCAATAAATTGCGCGCAATAATTGTTTAGACCATTTGTTGTTTAGACCATGCAACTCATTTATTGCTTCAATTTAATTGTATACAACAGGCAAGAAACTGGCATCATGTAAATGGGCCTTTACGGATCTGATGATTGCAACCCAGAGAAATCGAACATCCTCAAATGTTACAGGTATCAACAATGTTTTAGTTTCATGTTTGAAGTTTGAAGTTTCTTTTTTGTTGAAAATTATAATTTATTCTGTTATTAATTGTTCGTTTTCAAGAAATTAATTTGTTTTTCATTATGTCCTTTAGTTAGTAAAGGTTTGTTGTGCGGAAAATTAAAGCATTTACTGAATTATGTACAAACCAATTACCAGACTATACTATACCAGAAAATATGGACCCCGCAAATTCTGTAAAGTAACATTTTGAGCAGTGTATTATTTTTTTAAATTTTATTTTTATCTCAATAAGAAATAGTTTTGCATGTTAAAAGAGCCTGCCTACTCCGAGGACGCGACAAACGATTTCTTTTTTGCAATCTTAATTTATTAATAAAAGCAATTAATTCTATTGATTTCCTGTACTATAGCGATGTTTTTATTATTCTTGGTTAGGCTATTTATATAATATGTAATTAGTACATATAACCATACTTTCATTTCCCGAACTAAAAACCACACACGGTGTAGACACAACAAGAACAAAATTATGTAATACTTTTTAAGTTTGAATATTGAAACTGTAAGTTTGTATTGTCACATTTATTGTAAGGACGCCAAAGTACGTAAGTTATTTAGTGATATATTGTAAGCTCATGTTGTTAAATATTTATTTTTAAGTAATGCGATACTAGACAAGTATATAAGAGAAAATAAAACTTAGTGTTGAAAAAGATCAAATATAAATGAGAAGTGTACGAATATAATTTCATAGTGAATTCGCAATTACGTGGCATTGATGACTAAGGTAATATAATTTTACTAACATTTTACATTTATCACAATATTTAGGGATAATGATTGAATCAATGGTGAGTGCATCTTTTTAAGTATTTACAGTAATATTAACAGCCATTAATGTAAGATATATTGCTAATGGGAATCCTTATTTTGTTATACGCGTATTCAACGAAAATTAACCCCAGATGAAAATAAGGCCTAATTTTTATAAGCACTTTGTTGTATTGCACAAATCTTGTATATAAATATTAACATTGTGCGAATTATGTCTTATCTAGTCAAGTGTTCTATCTAATGTTATTAAAGATGAATCAGCTTGCAGGCGTATCTGATTTTATAGTAGTGTACGGTCAACAAATAAAGATATACAGCGTATTGTTACAACGTTAAATTAACACACTTCTATCGCTACTTGCCAATGATCATAAAAAAATACAAAATTAAAAAAATCCATAATAAAAAAAAATTAAAAAAATTAATCAAATCAAAAAGAAACAAATTTTTTAACACCTATACCGCTACAATTGACTGATTCATACATTCAGAGACTTTTTCATTCATTGCCACAGCGTCGCGTTACAAGTTTTTCCTTCTAACAGTATGTTTATTCTCTTTTAAATTCATTCAACCCATTCATGCTTTGTGACCTTAACAAATGAACTTTACGTTACAGTTTTATACGTAAGGGTCTTCTAAAATTGTTTGTTTTGGAAATTTTAATAACTCTGTAAATATTGATGTTTAAAGAATGTAAATGATTAATACAATTTTAGAAAGTTATCCTCTATATGTGTGTTCATTTATTGTCGCGGTTGTAACGACACGCTGTATATAAAAATACTTTTTATTGGTAGTACTTAATATTGCACACGTTAAACGTATATTTAATCATGATCTTCAACTCCAGATATTTTGTAGTCTTTCTCATCCTCATTTTTCTATTCTTGTGTTCTTATGGCTTTAACTTTTGTTGTTTTAATGTTAATGTTGAAACATATGAAGTTAAATAATTAATTAATGAGAAAAGAATAAGCAACAAAATGTTACGACACTTTCAACACTACCTAAAAGCTATTGATACGAGAGTGCGATGCACGTGACGTGGTAGCTGGCGCAAACTAGTCTAATCGGTTTTTATTCACTGTAGTGCTGCCCGACTACAAATTATTGCAGTACACAGAATAATATGCCGAATGGTAAAAAAAAACAATTTTACTTTTCGTAATGTAAATAACCCAAAAAAAATGGTCTCGCGAAACCATTTTTTCCGTGATTTTTTTTTTACCCTATTTTAGAGCAAAGTTGATTTCGCTAACAAAATATATCATGTACAAGTGATACTTAACTGGCAATGAATTTATTGCATTGTCGAAACAAACTGCAGACAACGAAATGCGGAAACGTCTCCAAGCTGACTTATCCCTTACCCTTTAATTGTTCCTATGTTGCAATCGCTGTCAATTGTTTTTGTTGTAATAATATAATAACTAAATTTTACATGACAAGCGGGAATTGTCGTTTTAAATTTGCATTAGTTGAGTTTTAAGATGTGAATAGTTTAGAGTAAATGGGGTTTCGGGAAGTTCCAACGAGTATTTGTCACCGACATGAATGTAAATATTACCGGAATGTTGTATAAAAGGCTCTAGTGATGCTGGTCGGAAATAACTTATTGACTAGTCCAAGTATTATTTTCCGTCTGCAATCTACGCAAACTTGTGCCTAGCTTTGCTGTGTCATAAAGTTAAAAAGAACTTCGCAGAGCAGTGATTCCCAAAGTTGACTGGGCTCTGAACCATCTAACAAAAATGTATAATCTTGGGACCCACCTCTTGGCTGACTCAGAGAGAAGTGGTCATAAATATTGGTAAGACTAAGATTCCCTTGTGGCGAATCGTAGAACTACTTAATGCTGTCTTATTTATTCTGGATGGAATGAAAAACATTTAAGCGTTACCAAATGTATGAAGAATTGTGGAAATAAGACGTATTATATAAATTTCAAGGCCCAGTCAATATTACCTCTATAGTTTGCAAAAGGCTGCTGAGCATAGATAATGGTCAGCATTTTTATAGCTTAGCTGTCGCACGATACATTAGTCCGGTAGGTAGTGTGACAGAGATAACGCTGTAAGAAACATAAATTAGCCGATTGTCACTTTCCAAACCTCCATATTATGCAGATTTAATTTCACTACCCTATAAATTGGCAGCTTTAAGATATGGTCGCGTTTAGCGTAGTTTAAAAATTGGTATACATTGTACCTACCTACTGTGATTTTGTATTTACGAGATTTTTGAAAAAAATTAAATGTTTTAACAGCAACTAAAAATAATTTTCAAAAAAAGGAAAATCAAATATGTTCTTCGTAATTATACATTTTTATTACACACGGAAATTGTCCCATCTCTTAATGGGACAATTTCAATAAATTAAATTAAGGGGACAAAAATGATCCATAATATTTTTTTTTACAAAAGGGAAAATGATAACTGACACATTATGATGACAACTACCTGTTTATTTTCGTAAAATAAATCTTGTTTTAATAATTTGGACCGTGACTGAATTGGTAGAAACAATACATCTAGATTATATTTTGTTAAAATTAATTGCAAATTTTTAAATAACAAACGCAATAAACATTTATTGACCTTTATGACCAGAAGTTTTATTTGTATATTTTATATTTCAATAAAATAATGCACCTATACGACCAAATGCTTGTTTTGACTCCATATAACGTTAAATGGTGATGTAGCTGATACACCACAAGAAAGCCATACTGGCGGACGCTGATATTTTTGTTGTCTATAAAGTGCACCAAACCCCGACCTTATAAGTCCCTTTTGAGTAACAAGGAGATATCGAAGAGATCAAACAAGGAGAGATCCAAGTCCTGCTTTTGCGTTTTTAGGTCAAGCGACAACACTACAATATTCGTCAACGTAAGGAGATTTAGATGATTTGTGGATACCAATAATTTCAAATACAAAAATATCTTATTCAATATGGAAGCATTACACTTATCGATTTTCAAAATGCTTCTACGGTTCGGAACAGAAAAGCCACTGACCTGAGAAGAACCGGCGAAACAAACTCAATGGGATTATTTGTTTTTTTACCAATTATTTGACAATAAAATATGTTTAGTGATATATATTTGTATATATATATATACAAATACTACTATATATTTATTACTTCAGTGCGTGTGTATGTGACTGAAGTCTCCTAACGGCTGGACCAATTTTGATGATTTTTTTTTCTGTGTTCAAGTGTATTCGAAAATGGTATAGATTCATAATTAGATCCACACTTTTTATTTATAAGTTGTCGCATTTAAGATGTGTGTATAGTACGTCTCTCGCTTTCGTACAAACTTTCATCTCACATTAGAATCGTTAGGGGATTTACTATAAAAAATCTGAATAACAAGTTTCTTCATTTCTAAACCAAATATCATTTTTGCAATACTAATTTCCTAAAAAATCCCAAGTGTAGTATGCGCTTAGGCTATTAAAGGTTTTTAGGGTTCTGTACCATAAAGAGTAAATAAAGAAACCCTTATAAGATCACTCTCTTGTCCGTCTATCTGTCCGTGTGTCACCACCGTATTTCTCAGGAACGGATAGACCAAGCTAATATGTACCAGATACCAGATACTATAGTCTAACTTAGGTGTATAAAAATCAAGGTCCTTAGTCAACACGATAAAAAGATATGGGCAAATTTAGATTTTCGATAAAACTTGTAAGTACCAAAATTTTCCTTAATTTTAACTTTTTTTTTCTTTTTCGGAATTTAAAATTTTCTTGTGTTCAAATGTGTGAAAATTCTAGGTCAACCGGAACTACGCTTTATGTTTTGGGTCGAAACAATAACATTCGTTCCACGATTAAAATTTTAGGTATATTTGAGTAACGGCAATTGAGTATCTAAACTCCATCAGCGGCCCGGTAGGTTATAATTCAAAAATAATTTTATAATCTTCAATAGTTCCCAAATGAAAAATAGTTCTTTTACCTTTGTATAGAAACCTTTAATTATAGAAGGCTCACACCTTTTCTTAAACTAACGTTAATGAGTTTGATTTGTTTTACACTTATGTGACAAACACTAGCTGGCATTTCCTACCCGTTTCATTACCTCCCCATTTCCGCACAACCATTCTGTGGAACCAGAGGCCTTGTCTATCCGAGACGTTATGACCTGGGAACGTTCAAGAATAGAGCGTATTCTTTCCTAAAACGAAGCAAGCCAGCGCATTTACAAGCCCTTCGGCTTTGCAGATGTTCATGGGCGGCGGTGATCACTTACTATCTGATGAGCGTCCTGGTCGTTTGCCCCTTTTTTCCATAAAAAAAAAAACTAATTGTTCTCTTTATTCTTAGCAATTTATTTAAGCTATTCTTTTTATGCCATACGATATGTGTGAGAAAGGCATACCTTTCTCGGATCATAGATCCAAGGTTGTGATGAATGAAATATGTTTATGTGTGCTGTCACCGTGCTTGGAACACTTCAGATCGGTGATTTTGTGAGCGTATAACATTAAATATTATTATCATTTATTATCAATCCATTGAATATTTATGACAGTACAGTTAATTGTAAAATACGTACCACATTAACATACAACTTAATTTCCAAAAGAAAATGAATCTTTGCTGGTATTTTTGTTGGAACTTTTCTCCCATTTTTCTAGTATTTCCTTTCTGGAAGCATAAAAAATACTATTTGCATAAAAATTAAAAAGTCTCCTATAATTTACAAAATAATGTTTTTATTTAAATTAGATGTTTTGCCCGAATTTCTCACGGGTAGACCTAGGCAAGCTGAATGTTTACTTGTGTAATGTAATTTTATTGCCGGCTATATCTTATGATAATTTGAAACAAATAACGGATAATAAGAAATTGTTTTAATATATAATGACAGTTAAACATTTTGGCTTATCCGCTTTTTTCCTTCCTACGCGTTCTTTAAATTATTGCGATCTCTAATTAAACCCCATACAAAATAATTTGTAATATTTGTAAAATTATAAAATTAGACTAACCGTTATAGTATGACTCAAATCTTGCAAACGAATGCCTCATTTTAATTTCGAAAGTGGTCGAACCCTTATATCCCTCTCAAGATTAAAATTTCTATGAGATGAATACTAATTGTTCATGGTGGCTGGTCTCATATGGAAGATATTATAATAGTTATCGAGTCGGAAGTAAATTATGAAATTTAAATGAATACCTCATTAGGTCAAGGCATTCTGTAGATTTAGGATTACCAGCCAGGATCGACTTGCAATAAAGAGACGTCGATGGAAATTTTACTACATCATCCTTCGGGCTCCTAAGAATAAAAATAATGACCATTAACAGTTTTTTGAACAAAAAACAATATTTGGGGTCGTTTCAATGTACCTGTACAAAATAATATTTTTACACTCGTAAAATCTACACATAATTAAAAAAAAACAGACATCTGCCTTTGATTTTGAAATAGCCTATATTAACTCATGTGGGTCTATGTAGTAATTCAGAGAGCCCAAACATGTGTTTCAAATATTTCGTACATCTGTCTTTTGTTATATCTGGCGGTTTTCTCCGAAAAGCAAAGACCTTACACTTACTAACTACTTTTGTACACTTACTACTTTTGTAAGTGTAAGATCTTTGCCGAAAAGACTAAACTGCAAAAGGAGGCAACACATCTGCAACTCTACGGGTGTTGCAAATGTCCTTGCGCGGCGGCTGTCACTTGACATTGGTGAAGTGCCAGGTCATTTTCCACTTTCTCGCATTAAGAATAAAAACGAACAGATTATTTTTGCAAATTCCACTTCTATGAGATCCAACTAACAGACAAAAGTAACGATCTTAGAATGTCACAAAAAATACAAAAATCGTCTTTTTTATATGATAAGAAAATAGTTTTAATGATTCCGCATTCATTTAAAACCAGAATAAAATTTATGCATTACCTATTACACATACGCAGAAGGTCAGGAAGCATTACTAACTTAGAGCAATATTTGCGCAACTCATAAGGCGTCTGCAACATAATATTAATATTTATTTTCGAATTATTAAAATTAATATAGTTCTAAATAATTGTAGTTCATATACACTCTGTCTAAAATATTATATTTATTGCCTATTATTTTTAACATAGGTAATTGTAACTGCAGAATAAGTAGGCAACATAATATTTAATTACGTACTTATTTTGCTCCAAAATTAAGTTTTTGGCGACAATTATTAGAAGAAAGAAAGGAAGAGATAAATCACAAGAACAGTTATAAACCTTGAAAATAATACTATAAGTATGCATTAAAATAAAGTAAAACTATACATCAGTGATTCTCAACCACTGTGCCGCGGCACTTTTGTGTGCCGCCAAATTTCAAAAGTGTGCCGCCAAATTTTGCAAATATATAATTATGTTAATATTATTAAATTATATCATTTAAAAAGAAAAATATTTTTTGGCATTAGCGAACATTAAAACTAAAAAAAGATCAAGATTGTTTAATGTAGAAGACGATATGAGAGTAGCATTGTCATTTTTACGACCAAATATAAATGAAATTATCAAAAAAGATCAAGCTCAAATTTCGCATTAAAAATATTTTTAATATTAATTTTGTAATTAATCCCTTAATAAACGTTTAGTTATTATTGTAGTATATATTAGTTTATTTCGTATATTTAAAATTTTTGTCATAAACTATTTGTGCAGTGTTGTAGTAAGTAAATAATTTTTATCTTTTTTTTTGTGTGCCGCCAAATTTTGAAATCCTTAAATATGTGCCGCAACAAAAAAAAGGTTGAGAATTACTGCTATACCTATTAACCACAGCTGGCCAAAGGTCTCCTCTTTTACAGAGAGTATCAGGGCATAATCTACCACGCGGCCCCATTGCGGATTCGCAAATTTCACATATCTTCAAAATATTCTTTTTTTGTCATTATTTCGAAAATATGCCGGTTTCATCGCGATGTTTTATTTATTTTTGTTTAATCTTTATTGCACTAAAAATTGTACAAAGGCGAGCTTAATGCTACATTGCATTCTCTACCACCTAACCCTAGGTAGAACAGAGACATAATGACAAGGGCAGTAAAGTAGTTGTAATCGCTACATATTCAAATAAATAATATTTAATAATTAGGTAATGAATCTAAAAACTACCAACATAAACATACATACGTAGATGAGTATACTTATACAGCGTGTCGTTACAACCGGGACAATAAATGAACACGCATATAGAGGATAACTTTTTAAAACTGTATTAAGCATTTACATTATTTAGTCATCAATACCCTGACCATTTTAACGAGTTGTTAAATTTTACAAAACAAACATTTTTAGAACATCCTTACGTTTTATAAACTGTAACGTAAAGTTCATTTGTAAAGGTCACAAAGCATATGAATGGGTTAAATGAATATAAAAGAGTTACATACTGATAAAAGGAGAGATTTGTAATGCGACGTTGTGGCAACGAATGAAACAGTCTCTGAATGTATGAATCCAGTCAGTTGTAGTTGAATAGGATGTTACAAATTTTGTTTCTTTTTTATTTCATTATTTTGTTTGAAAAATATATTTTCTTAATTATGGATTTTTTAATGTTTTATATTTATTTATGATTATTGGCAAGTAGCGTTAGACGTGTGTTCATTTATTGTCGCGGTTGTAACGCTAACGACATACACTGTAAATATACTTAAGTACTCGGCAAGGATATTCTCAAACAATTTTCTAAAAGTGACAGAGAAAGAATTTGGCATGAAACCGGAGTGATGAGAGGGTACAGACAGTAACGAATTCTGAGAAGAGCGAAGATTGAGGGAATGCGAGTCCCCGAGGAACTGAAATCTTTCTTTTAGATAAGAAGGTGTGGAGGGGTCATAGAGGATTTAAAACAGAGTAGACAGGATACGAAAGTCTTTGCGCTGGTGTATCGTCAACCGCTTTAGTTGAGTACGGAAGTGTGGCACGTGATCATATTTGCGCAGCCCAAAGACAAATCGTATGCAGTTATTGAGTAATCTGTTAAACTTGTTAAGCAACTCCTGGGAAATGTTAGTAAGATAGACATCAGCATAGTCGAATAATGGAAAAATAAGGGACTGAACAAGAATGAGCTTAGTGGAGGAAGGCAAAAAGGCTTTGACGATATATGGAACGAAGTATGCCTGTTACCCTGCGACAGATCTCAGTTATGTCTTTTACCGTTGAGCACGTGATAAAGTCAGCACTTAAAATTAACGATTTTATTGGTGCTGGCACCGGGGATCGAACTCAGGTTGCTCGAGTATATTGAATTAAAGGCGAGCGCCCGGACACTGAGCTATCACGACTCTTGGTTTGGTATGCGCTAGGATACATACCAAGAAAAACATAATCGGCTTCAAGAAAACTGTGTATGGCAGTGCATAACAAAGATTATTAGGTGTTGGCACGATAACTTACTTTCTTAGAAACGTTTTTTAAATAACACTGAAAGTTTTTATTAAATCTCAATGGATTAGGCATTTTTCACTTATTTAATTTAAAATTTGTTCAAAGTCATAACTCTGTACATGTAAGTCAAATAAGTACTTCACATTACTTTACTCTTTGTCAAGCACCCAATGTCATCAAAAGCAGCGAAAAAAGTATTTATTTTAGAGACAGCTATTTAAAGCAAATATAACATAACTAATATACTGTTAGAAGGAGAGGCTTGTAATGCGACGCTGTGGCAACGCATGAAAAAGTCTTTGAATGTATGATTCAGTCAGTTGTAGTTGTATAGGTGTTACGTTTCATTTTTATAAAATTTTTAAAGCATAAATAAATAAAAATAAATGAATAAATTTTTACTTGCTACATTGAGATTGTTATGTTTCAATAAATATCGATTTTAAAGATATAGTTTACAAATTGCGGTATGCAATGAGCCGGATTCCAAAATGGCTTCTGTAATAAATATCACATATACACTTTGCGGCAAATTGTACAGAAGACCGAGCAGTGTAAACAGCCTGTATGTTTGACGTATGCGGACCATGAGAAAGCCTTCGATTCTGTCGAAATTTGGGATATTCTCCAGGCCCTACCGCGGTGCCAAATGGACTGACATTATATCGTGGTGCTGAAGTGTTTGTATAACAAGGGTACGATGTCCGTCCGATTACAGTTCAGTAGCACTAAACCTATCCAAATGCAGAAGGGTGTAATACAGGACAGAGTTATGTCAAAATTCTACACCACTGCATTGAAAGACCTTTTAAAGTTCTGGATTGGAAAGGACGTGGTATTAACACCAATGCCGAATACATCATCCACCTTCGATTTGCCTACCATATAGTCATCATGGCAGAATCACAGGACTTTGGTTAAGCTCAACAGTGTCTGCCAACCCGTGGGCACTAAGATGTAGATGGGCAAGAAAATGATCATGTCTAATATCCATGTCACGGCTGGGATCACTATGCTCGAAGTTGTTGATGAGTACGTTGACCGAGGACAGTTAGTCCGACTAGGTAAGTAAGTCCAATTTCGTCGCAGAGATCAATCGGCTAATCCAAGTAGGATTTGCAGAAATTTCAACAAGTGTTCTATTCGAACATTCCTCAATATTAGTAGATTAAAGTGGCGATGGGCCCAACAGATAGCTCGTAAATCACATGGACATAGTTAGGGGAGGAAAGGTTCTAGAGTGGCAGCCTCTTACTGGCCATCGCAGTGTAAGACACCCCCCCTTTGGTTATAAGGGCTTTACCATGTCGTCGACTGTGCACGTGGTTGCGTTGTTCTCCTGAGTCAACGGGCCCTTTACCCACGGACCTATTTCGATGAAGCTGTCAGAAACGATTGGCTTAGGGCTACAGTCCTACAGTAAACTGTAAATAAATAAATTACAAATATTATTTGAATCAAACTCGGTCAGTATCTATAACTTAACAGTGTAGCTTTACTTTTAACTTTACCAAATTAAAACTATTTATGAATTCAACAGATTCTTTGGAATTCAATGTCAAAATGACAATGCCATTGTGACATTTAAAACGTCACAAACAATAAGTCATAAGTGCGTGATATAAAATTATATTAAACTGATCAATTTTAATCTTCACTCTTTTTCATTCAGTTATTTTGTAGGCTCTTATTATAATGAGCAGGGGAAAAGTTAATTTCCGTGATATTTCACCGGCTCTTCAAACTTTTAGGGATTTCCTTCTGGGAGTCAGTATTTTTTCATTTAGAGAATTACATAATGAAAGTAAATGTATTACTAATTAAGAATACCTTTTAGTAATGCAATTCTTTATTTATTTTTTAGCGAAATCACAAAAAAGCTCTGCGATTCCAGCCTTTGTTGTCCGCTAGAACTCAACCACAGCCAGAATTACCTGATGGTGTATCACACAAGTATGCTTCCAAAACATAAATACTTGTTTATACATCTATTATTATTTTTTTAATTTGGGTGGACACTGCACGTTATATATTGAAACTATTTTTACATATTTCTAATAGGATTAGAATAAATATTATAGAACTTTTCTATAATATTTATTCTAATCCTTGTGATAGCTTCACAAACATGTGATTTTCCAATCTTCTCTTAATATTAGTTTTGTAAATATTTTAGACATGCACACAATTACTATTATACTCGTGATGGCCGAAGAGAAGTTGCACCTCCAATGGATCTTACTAAACAGTTACTGACCGATGGTGCTGAAAAGGGGTAAGATATAAATTGAGAATTTTACATTAATACAATTTTGAATTTAACATTATGACAAGAATATTTTTTGTAATTTTAAATGGTTCATTGGAATGTGTCACCTACATTTTCTCATGTGACAACATAACACATGATTTATAATATGGGCATAATATTCAACAGGACAGTTGGCATTAGCATTCCACCAGTGACCAATATGTCTACTTTTTAATATTAGACTAATTTTGGGAATGTTTTAAAATCCTTTAAATACTTTGTTTGATTTTAAAATTATTTCTCTAATCTTTTTTATATTTAATGTCTTCTGATTCTTAACTTCAGAACTCCAAGAGAAGCAACCATTTCAATTCCAAGACCTGGAAAAGTTCATCAATGGGATCATCATTACTAGTTTTATTAAATGTATGCAAGTATCTTGTGAAGATGTTACTTCTACAATATAGTCAGTTAAATAGTTTGCTTTAGTATTCAAATATTACAATCCACATCCTATTTTGATATATATAAATATCTTTATTTTCGAATTAAATTTTTTCCTTCATTGGCATAGTTATATTGATATGAGTACATTTCAAATAGAAACATTCTTGAATAATAAAGTCTGTTTTTGTTTAAACTATGTTTTGTTTATTTTATGTACAATATCAATAAACTGAGAAAGAAAAAGACTGGGTTTTTAAACATCCTCTATCAAGAACAATTATGCTTTTGCATAAGATTGTGCATTTAAAGACACCCATTATCTATACATATCAATGATTATGTTCTGGTAATTCTAAAATGAGGTCTACAAATATACATCAATGATATTTGAATGACCTCATGGGTGATTTAATGACACTGGATGGACACTTGGATGGAGGGATACTTGAATAAGATATATGAGTGCCTTGAGTTGCTTAATAAATAGAAAAGCAACAAGTGAGATACATCAATGGAAAAGTTACTGAACTATAAGAATAAAATAGCGTCTATTTTGCTTTTAATGTTTATTTGCCCTAAAACACAGGAATGAAGCTTAATATAATGTGCCAAAAATAAATATTACAATTATTTAAAAATATTCATGCACAACAAATCGCCAATTTGTTTACAATGAAACCAAAAAAAAGTTTAGATAAATTGAGTCTAGTATAACTGATATATGAGATTTTTTTAGAGATATTTGATAGAAAAACATTTTCGTATCTAAAAAATTCCTGATTCATAGATCAGTTTGCCTGTAGGGATTTTTATTTATTTTGATTTATTTGCATCAACCACATTGATGTAAGAGTGCAAATTTTTATTTCAAACTTTTATCATTGAACACAACAACTATTTTTGGCTATTGGTAAAATTATGAAACTAAAAGGTTTCCATAAAGCATTTTAAAAACAAAAGAATATTAAATAAAAAAATAACTAAAAAAACACACATTTTTATATGAAACAACAATTCTCATTCAGTGACATCATTAAACTATATTTAAATTGTTATTTTGTTGATACACATAAAACACATTTCACACTTATAGATAACCTATTTAAAGCAATTTTTAGGGATATTTTTATATCCACTTCTTACATATATTTCAAAGATGATTTAAACTGACCTTTTTAACAGATTCAAATTACTAAAAAGTAGTAAATATCTTCACAGACTTTATTCCCACTGGAATTTTTTTTAATATAACCACTATAGTATAATATGTATTTATTTACAAAAGAAAAGTATGTTTAAGTATGTTTATCAGTTTTCTAGTACCCATAGTACAAGCTTTGCTTAGTTTGGGACTAGAAAATGTTGTGTACAAATGTGTCCCAAATATTTATTTATTTATTTATTTACTATAGTTTATGTATTGATTAAGTAGAATTTTGTCACAATGAATCTTAAATAACCGTTTTTAGCAATTAACAATATTAATTGTCATTAATATGTACAGATTATATTTAAATATACTATTATTATTAAATACACACATAGATGTATGTCATTTCATCTGTATGTTAATGATTGCGACTTTTATATAGAATTAACAAATTATGTAAATTATTCTGCTGGGTTATGTTACAGAAATTATGTAATATTTTATGCTTTAAATTACAATATTACCAGTTGAAACACAAATTCTTAAAGTTCTTGATAAATCACAACATTCTACACATTATAATTAGCCAATGATATATCACTTATTTTAAGGTTTTGGGATGACATTGAGTTTTGTATTTTTTATATTCAGTTATACAGTAATTATTTTTATTCATTATATATATTTAATTTTAATATACATACATTTAAATGCTAAACATTTTTATTAGTGTACAATGTGCTAAACATTTTAAGTTGTTAAATATTAGGTATGTCAAATTTTAGTAAAAACAATTTTGTATCGGTTAGTAGTAAAAAAATATTAGTACATTTTTTTAAAAACCAGCATTGTCAGATCAAGTTATGCTATGTTTTTGCTCAAAGGACCACATTGATCCGTCACTGCGCTCCACATAAGTTGTTGCTTATGTGAATACATGTTTTGTCATAAGAATAAGGTGATTGAGAAGTTTAATCGCTAGAATCTGTTGTTTCTATTGGACTTCTAATACGCATTGAAGAGAAGTTTCCAAAACTGAATGTTCTTCCTCTCAGTGGCCTCCGTGACCTGTATCTAACCCTTTGTCATTTCTCTTCTCCATCAACTTGTTTTCTGAACTGCATGGCATCACCATAAGCTTTCTTTACTGCTTTTCTCTCTGTCGGTTTCCTCGATTCGACCAGCTTTGCTTGATCCACGCTCTTATCGACACCCAAAATTTCCAATTTATTAGGTGGCAGCCATTGCCAGGTGCGCTTAACATCGAAGAAAAGCACCAGATACAATATTGGTTCGTGCGAATGATTCTTCTTGAGGTTCAAAACATCCTGTGGTGGTACAGGAAGGGGCACTCCATTGTATATAAAACCTTTTGGTATCTTCGGATCTATTATCAATGCAGGGTACCAAGGATAACCTCTGTAAGAAAAATTGAGTTCCATTTTAGAACTGTTATTATTCTTACATAAGAAACTAGCTAACATAAAAAAGGATTGGTTTCCAGCAATATTTCAAAAATATTATTATAACTAACCTGCATTTAGCCCATACTAATTGCAAGGGCTCTAGCTGAATGACTGTTTGTGAATTTTTAATTGGTGTTTTTGATGTAGAAGATCTTGTTCCACGGCCCTGAAAATAATTTATTACACCATTTTTTAATAACACTTCTTTATTAACTTTGTTGCGGTTAACTCTGATGATTCTCATCATATTATTACATATATATTCTAGCTCATAATATTATTTAAAGCTCGCCCTAATACCAGGCTTTGCTATATATATAGTTTGGTGTTTTGCTGTTCGTATCTTGTATTAACTGATGTTTTTGCTTTCAGTCCCGAGACTATTAAAGCTTCATCTGACGCAGAACCGGTGGGCTAGCCAGAACCCACGGGTTTGGACCCTCCGCTGTGGGTAGGGCCACGCATGTGCTCATGCGTGCGTTTAACTATGGTGTGTCATCTAAGGGCCATCGAGGTCGCGGTTCGGACCGAAACCCCGATGGCCGTCGACTGTGCAATTAGCTAATCGGTGGTTCTCACCGCCCCGGAACGCGGGTGTATCTTGTGTACGCGTTGTGTTGCACTCGCCGTGCTCGGAGGCGAGGGCGAACTAGTGTGTTTGTTGTTGCACTAACTGTGGGTGTAGTGTTATCCGGCGGGAATTGCTGTTCGTAAGCAGCATTTAGGATCCCAACTTTTATTTTTTCTATTTTTCATCCATAAATGTTTGCTACCTCAATACAAGGATGTCATTATACTCAAGTACTGGCTTCAAAAAATGTGAAGTTGGAAAAAAAATATGTTGTCAATTTGAAACCTTCTAATCGATATCCTACAACTGTTTCTATAAAAGTTTTTTTTTCAAACATTTTTTGCAAAATAACGATTCTTTCTAACTCGGAATATTACGATATGATGTTATGCGTAGGCCATGAAGATAGCAATTTAAATCGTGCTCGCGAACTGTATCGGCAACGATTTATCGATGGTAGACCCCCCACTGAACAGCGACGGCTGCCTTCGTACCAGTGTTTTCTGAAGATGTTAAGACGACTACATTTCACCGGCTCGTCGATCCGCGAATTAGGTAGAAATGTAGGTACATTCTGCGTAGTTTACTCTTTAATTTTACTGAAATAGGGTTAGCTCATCAGTGAAACTAAAAACATTTTTTTATATTTTTGGTGTAAATTAAGGTTTTATTTTTTTGGTGTATATTATTGTCTTGTGTTTATTATACAGCATTACTACGGTTCTGAAATATTGTAAATGGACTCGTTATAAGGCCCCATTTAACCTCCTTTCGGCTTTGTGGTAGTTTTGTAACATCCTGTATGTACATAAATTTGGACAAAACCCCACCCAGTTCCTGAACAATCATCTGTGGGTCACAAAAACAGTTGTCTCGTATGGGAAACGAACCCACGACCCCCGGCGCCGAAGCCAATACCTTGGCGCCACTGTGTTATCAATATATACAGGCTGTTGCTTTACTTTATTTTACATATACATGCTGCTCTCTTTACCTTCACGGGCGTGGTGGGCTGCTCTCCGTCAGAGTGGTCGTTGCCGCTGCGTCTGGAGCGCCGTCTCCGCTCAGCACCGCTCCCACCCTCCAAAGCTGATTCCATCGTCTCGTTGTAACTCGACCTTATACATGTGATAATAAGGTTCAATTCATCAATATCCAATAGAACTGTTAGTGAAAAATCAACGAAAGGACAGTTTATTACATAGAATCAGTCTCTGTTTGTCAGAAGATTTTATATATGTTATGGACACATCTTCAATTCAGTGTTGGTTCCCTCTTTGCAAATTTTTTTATTTATATTTCTCAAAAACTACATCTACTCAGATATAGATGCAAGTCGATTGCGGATAATCGGATGTGTGTTCTATTTACGTTACGTTGGTACGTTTTCTACTTTGCAAGTAACTAACTTTTATATAATAAAATCTCATCTAGTAATATTCCGTTCTCTTCCACTCATCCTTCTGTTAAAAGATGACCTGTGTCAATAGAAATACTTAGGTAAAATTTTGAATTTTAGTCCTGCCAACATATAATGCAACGGTATTCTGTATTAATCTTTATATATATAATTTTACTGTGTGCCACCTCCTAAACGGCTGGATCGATTTTAATAAAAAATGTTGTGTCTTCAGGTCGGTTCGAGAATGGTTTAGATTCACAATCCGTTTTTTTTTGTCAGATTTAAGACGTGTGTACTGAACAACGTCTGTCGGGTCCGCTAGTTTAAATATAGAAATATCGGCGACCAGCCTACCGCTCTGCCTTCACACGGGTAGCACAAATTATCAGAAAAGTGCCTTGATCCCAATAACTTCACAGAATCACACTTTTGGCTAGTCTGAATATCCGTTTAGTAGTCCAAACATATATACACCATAGATGAAAAAAAATTGGAAATTAATCATAACGATTGAAAGAATATACTCTCACCCATCACTGGAGCTGAATGAGCAGGAATTGTCCGAGACGTTGTCGTCGTCGTAGTGCGTACACGACGAACACGATTGGGACCAAGCGGAGCTGCTACTAGACGACCTGTAATACATCATACAGGGCGTGTCATTTTCGTGGCCTTTGGCGCGTTTCCATTGTTCCATGACTCATGGTTGTCATAATTCACTTTGATGACTCCGCAGCGCAGTTGTTAAGGTATTGGCTTTTCCGCTGGGGGTCGTGGGTTAGATTCCCACAGGAGAAAACCATATGCGTAACCCACAGATAATGTTTCAAATTTAAGAATGTTAAACGTCCTTTAAACAGGATAATGTTTTCCTACAGTAAGGGAGCAATGTTTTCAAAGGGGAGACCACAATAGATCTTCCAGGTGGCAGTGGTCGTCGCCCGATCCCTTCCGCACAAAATACAAATCCAAAATTATGATTGGCCGGGACGACTTTAACGGTGCTCTCTGATTGGCCGTCCGCGGAACTAACCTCGAGAGGGCCAGATCGCTGTCGGAGCCCACCTCGCCGGGCGGGCCTCTATACTGCAGGAAGGAGGCTGGCACTGGGGTCGAGACGGTCTTCCCATCCGAGCCGGAAACGGACCTGGAAGGAAGCTCCCAATGAAAATCAAATGTCAAAGTTTCTTTATTCAATATACTTATGGCTTATTTTATGCTCTTATTAAACCTGTAAATTACCAACGGGTTACTGAGTCTATTCAGAGAAAATCAGTAAGAAACTCTGCTGTCTTATCTTATTATTTTTTTTAATTATAAAAGTATACAAAATTATTTAAGTATAAAATTATTATTATCTATTATCAACAGTAATAAACATTTTACTATGTATATAATGGTGGTAAAAAGGGACGCTGGATTCACGGGCGATCGGAAATGGGCTTTGATAGGGAACCTGGAAAGTGGAGAAGGTTCCCTGATATGTGCTAGTGTACTACAGGAGATTTCGGAGCCCCGGCCAATATTTCAAATAGTGTCACCTTTATTAAAACACACAGTGATCTACCGCTTACCTCATCTAGCCACTACCAGCGAACTGACGCGAACCTTTCTCAGTTCATCGGTTCACCTGGTAGAGGGACGTCCGAAACTACGTTTTCCGAGACATGGTCTCAATTCGAGAACCCGCCTGCTCCAACGCTCATCGGTTCTACGACAGATGTGGCCATCTAAGACTTTGGTCCTCTGCCGGATGATTTCGGATTTTATCCCTTAGCAAAATACATAGATCTCTCCACAGCTCGCTGAGCGACGTGTAATCGGTGGGCCGGCCTCACCGTCATGTTCCACGTTTCATATAAGTGGACAAACTTAATGCTAATTAAAATGTGGAACAAAGAGAAGAGAACCTGTCCAGAACCTACCTGAACAAATGGGGCGTGGTGGTGGTTTTCTTTTCGTGCTTCCTCGGCCTGCCGCGCCCCTTCTTCCGCGGCGAGCTTTCCAGCTCCGGGCGGCCCTGGCTCGCAGACAGCGTCGGTAGTGTTGCTGCGAAACACAGATAATGTATTATTTAAACCACTCTCAGAGACGTCACTTAGTACTCGATTGGGAGTGAACTCGTCCATAAACTTCTAAGATTTCACTTGTCGCTTTCTCATAGCTGTAGGCAGAAGAGAGCACCACTCATCACATACATAAATCGATTTAATTATTCTAAGGCCGTTGCCTATGAGTGTTGCAAAGTATTAGAAACATAACTTGAAGTTTAAGTTGTTCACCTTTAAGGTTTTATACACCCTTAAATTTTTCATACTTATACTTTACATTATATATATTACATCCCAACTTAATTTTGTTTCTCCTGTATTGGATCGCAGTCTCTTAATTATTGTTTTCGGGGAGTGTTCTCAGATTCCCCCAGGTGATTTGCTTAACACTTACCATGCCTTAGTATTAATAAAATTAAATATGATTTGAAGATATAGTCACCGTCTGAGCCGAAGCTCTTCGGAGGCGTCGCCATACTGCACGGCGTCACCAACAACGTGGGCTTCCTGAGGCCACTGCTCAAAAGTCCAAGACCTGGAAATATAAATTATTATTTTTTAATTCCATTAGTGTCTGATAAATTCGACTAACGTTTGCAAAGTACGTAAAAGTAACGTAAAGTAACTCAAATTTATCTGGTATTCAGAATTTAGTCAAAATTATTTTCCATGTCTTCTATTGTTAATTATAACTTGATCAACCTTTACCCGGTTCGCGCATTGGATAGTGAACCTGTCTATTGCACCAGAGTATATATGTTCAATAGTAAATTAACTATTTAACTACCATTTTAAGAATGGTATATTTAAGTACAGTGAATCTAACTTCGAAACTCACCATGTGAAGCCAGCCCTAAAAAATACTATCAAGAAATCTAGCGCCAAAGCATGTTTTAAATCTATCACGTAATCTCGGCATGGTTTTAACACGGGTATTAATGATAAGAAATAGGTAAAATAGGTTATTATGCCTATAGCATGTTCTGTGTGTTCTTCCCAATTCCTTACTTGGAGTTTCTGGCTGTTTCGTTGGTGACTTTTCGGGCGTGAGCAGTTTGTGTGTGCGCTCAACGCTCTTACTGGCGACCGGTGTCTCGGAATCCGAAGTCGGTGTTTCTGTGACGATAAGGAATGATAAATGTTGCTATGGGAATATTTCTATACAAGAAAAGCTGTGCGGTCCGGGGCGATAATGTACTGGACGGAATATTTCGGCAGTCGCGATTGTTAACATTTACTGTTTAGAAGTGGCCGTGCCGGCAATGTGAGAGATAGTTTTTTTTTCATGTGAATTTGTTAGCGGGCGGTTCTCCTGATAAGTGATTACCGCCGCCCGTGTACAACTACAATAGCCGAGTGTTAGGAGATGGGTTTTTTAGAAGAGTGTTTGTGAGAAGGTGGCAAGCGAAGTGTCGGTTTATCTGATGGTAAGTGACAACCGCCGCCCATATGTGCAACACCCGTAGGGTTGCAGATGCCTTTAAAAAAGTATGCGCCGGACGAAACGCGAGAGCATAATACTCCCACTTAACGCTGGTATTCTGCGTAGCCGTGGTACTTCCCTGGACGTGCATGCCCATTTGAGCAAAGCAACAACAGAAGCTGATGCGTGGCCCTACCACTTACAAAACAAACGATCCTACGGTAAGGTGGAGATTTTTATGTATTTATGTTTTGTTTTTATCAGTTAATGCGTAAGGAACCCTTCGTGCTTGAGTCAGACTCTCACATGGGCGACTTTTTATACTAACGGTCAGACGAAACCTTTATCAAACTCCGCCGGTTACAGCAAATGGGACTCGACGCCGCTATGATAAGTACCATTATCGAGTGGCGGGCGCGCCGCGGCGATGCTGGCCCTGCCCCGCCCCCTCCGCCCGCGCCTGCCCCTCCCGCGCCCGCGGCCCCTCCACCAGTTCCTGTTCACCTTCGCCTTGGGGGATTCCTCGCGCTGCAATCACACAATGGAACATAAGAGCGGTCAACGATTATAAAAATACAGATCGCGCAATTCAAAACAAAAAAAAGGAACTCGTAGAATAAGAAAAGAAGCTTGAATGACTCGAAGTTTTAGTACAAAATTGCATTTGACGTAGTTTTTTTTTACTACATTACCATTAGCCATAACATTATAAATACTATAATTTAGCGTCTACTGATACTTCTATATGAGAAAAACACTGGGGATTTTCAGTTAAAATTAATTCAGTGAAATATAAATAATACTGGCTGTTTCTGTCAGCTTGCATACTACAGTCACCACGTAAAGGCCCGAATCGTTGGGCCATGAAACAATGTTATTACTTATCGTAAACCAGTATTTACCAACATTCCTACTAGTAGAAGCTAGAGAGAAGCTATAACAAAGATCGCTATTAGGACTCATAGAGGGCGCGAATATAGCAAGTTGTTGCAAATTCTTATTGCTACGGCCATTTTAGCGTCCCCCTCGACCTATCAGTTCATGACGCGAATACTATAGTATATCTGTGTTGTTGTATCGAAATATTTACCGTGTTTGTTTCTTCGTCGGATTTGTGCTCGTTGGAAAGCCGACGTTCGCTGCGGGCGACCGAAACGCCGCGCTCGCTTCTTGTATCTGAAATGGATGAACGTAATGTACATTGATGCATCTTTTAGCACGGGATAATGTATACGTAAAAACTGTACACGAAGCTATATGATTATACAGGGCCTTCATTTCCAAACGCTATATGTTTAACATACAGTTGCAAAAAGAAGGTATTTATTTTGTACCGGCAGTGTGTTCGCTATCACTGCTTGACTTCTTAGCTCGGCTGCGGGCGCGGGCGCTCCTCGCCGATGACAGCGACGCCCCCAAAGTGCCAGCGCTTCCTGTACCGCCAACGCCCCCCATTCCGATACCAGCCCCCATGGCGCCGATGTCTCCCAAAGCAGCAACGCCCCTCGCGCCGCCAAAGCCCCCCGCACCGCCGACGCCCCCCGCACCGCCGACGCCCCCGCCCACGGAGGCCCCCTCCTGCGCGCCCGCCACGTCCCCCTTCCCAGCCAGCTCCTCCATACCGGCGTCCCGCACGTCACGCCTCGCCTGACGGAATATCGGCAGGCACTGCTCGCGCATTTTCACGCCGGCCCTTTGCGAACATAAAGTCATTGGTTAATAATTTTTAAACTTTTGATTTTTATATTAAACATAGAGACTACAGTAAATTATAATTTTGAATGGGTTTTCTTACGATTAACACAAAGGTGGCGTGTGAATGTTCTTAGAAAATGTCCGGCCGAAAGTCGAGCAATCTGAGTTGAAATCCCGGTGACGTCCCCAATGGTACTATTTTAAGTGTTGATTTATCACGCCATCGACGGTGAAGGAACAAGTCGTGAGGCATGTTACGGAAATAATAACGCAAAAAGTTATGTGAAGTCTGCCAACCCGAGGCTAATACCCGTATCCGAGAAAGCCTTTTCCCCACCAGTGGGGCATATGTAGGTACATAAAAATAACCATAAATAAATAATTGAAATTGTTAACTGAGCGAAAAGTACTAACTTGTAGAAGACAGTGTCTTTATTGTTGTAAGTCAAACAGTTGTCGATCATGAGCTGGAAATCGGTCTCCATGTCGTCTATGGTCTTGTACGCGCCTCGGTCCAGTTTCTTGCCCATGGTGCTGAGATCCATTGGGTGCTTCACAACTGTGCTGTAATCTGGGACCTGGTGGATGAAATAAACATATCGAATTTTTTTTTTACACACGAATGCAGACTAAAGACGGAACTAAATATTAATGGTATAGATAATGACTGGTGTAAGGTTTAATTGATGACTCCTCCTGATGGGAGGCACTGGAGGGACTCCTTTTAATCTATCGGCTCGAAGGGGAAGTCTCAGTAGGTTGCTTAACAATACTTCCACCATACCGTTTCGCATTTTATCCCGTTCCCTCCCCAGCCGCACCATACATGGATCCGAAGTGAAACGCTCATACCAGTATGACACGCTGATGAGCAACACGCCGCTAGCGCAGCAGCCGGCGACCACATAATCGACCCAGTAGCCGGCCCAAGGAACACCTGTTCCCTCCCCAGTCGCACCTTACACAGTTCATTAGTGCAACACACTCACATGTACGTCACGCTGCTAAGCAACACGTCGCTAGCGCAGCAGCCGGCTACCACTCACTCGACACAGTATCCGGCCCTCAAAAGACCCGTTCCCTCCCCAGTCGTATCATACACGGATCAATAGTGCAACACACTCACTCTACGTCACGCAGCTAAGCAACACCTCGCTAGCGCAGCAGCCGGCCCCCAGAAGACCCGTTCTCTCCCCAGTCGTACCTTTAACGGTTCGATAGAACCACTCACCTGTACTCAACACGTCAGCAGCAGCCGGCCCCCAGAAGACCCGTTCTCTCCCCAGTCGTACCTTTAACGGTTCGATAGCGCAACACACTCACCTGTACGTCACGCTGCTAAGCAACACGTCGCTAGCGCAGCCGGCCCGCACCATTCTACATACTGCAGCTGACCCACCTCCTGCAGGTCGACCGGCTCGGTGAACACGTCGCTGGCGTCCCGCTGCCGCAGCATCCGCAGCAGCTTGTGCAGCGCAGCGCGCTCGGGCCGCAGCGAGTGCAGCACGCAGCGCTCCCACACGCGCGTGTACTCCGCCTTCAGACGCTCCCGCTTGCGCACCAGCTCGCACAGCAAACTACGGGAACAATGCAAATGCTGCAAATCACGTACTAGTTACAACATAGTCTCATAGATGGAGCCTACGACAACTACAGCACGAGACACAAATCGGCAGAACGTGAACTCTGACGTCAATCGGAGTTCAGTAATATACCTTTACCGAATTGTTATTGTAAGTAACATAATTCATTCTAGATCTAGAATCAGACTCACTTCGTTTCTAACATCGAACAGATGTAGACTTAGGTTAGGTTAAGGTGGTGTTTTGGGTCCTTCGGCAGCATTTAACATAATTTACTCCTCAATCAGTCTTGATCAGAGAAACGATGAGTTAGTTAAGTGATAACTCTAGGTGCGGCAGTTAGTGCCTTTACAACGATGGACACACAAGCGGGTCGAGCGTTAAAGAGGCCTTCTGTTAGGGGTTATGATATCCATTACTTTACTCTAGGTGTTGATGGGTAATTCAATAGTAAGAGATATGTTACTCAATAGCAAAATATCCCTCCGGATGGAAATCTCCATTTACTTTGCAAATCGCATTTAAGATACTATATAACCCATACAAGGAAAATTTAAAAAAAGAACAAAAAATAGGGTGATAACATGTAAATAATTTGATAAGTGTTTAACGCCCTTTATATAAATAGCAAATAGTTTAAGAACCACTGCACTAGAGAATGCGTCAATTAATTTACCGGGCTCTCTCCAGATCTTGTCGTATCCGTTGCCAGTATTTGAGCTGGTTACACAGTTCTCTTACGTTGACAGTGCCATCTTGTATGCCTCTGGTACCTGAAATGTGTTTCGTTTTACAGCCTAGTGTAGAGACGTGACAGTAAATATTGAGACATAGGAAATTTTTGTCCAATACCCCTTTTTTATTGAATTTTTGCCTGCGTTGGCTCGATCAATGCTCCAAAGGCATTACGATCATCTGCGGGTCTCATGTTGTTTCATTTTTACTTCGGATCACCGAGTGCTCATTGTATTTGACTCACTAATTATTGTAAAGCTTACAAAGACAAAAGACCAATTTTAATAACTCCCGGGCGCGAAGGGACGCTACTGCCATGTTTTATTCGCGGCGAAAGTGATGTACCATAACAGTTGCTCAACCGTTATGATATTGCGTAGACTTAGAGCAGCTGTTATGACTCAAACCGGAATTGACAATGTTTACGGGTCGAGTTGCGCACGTTTACCGGCGAGAGGCGGACACGTTGTACCCAGTGACGGAAGGAAGTTGCATAGCGTAATTCTAACTGCGGTAGGGTATATGCAATATATTATAATCTATATAATAGCATGGCTACCCGAATGGCGTAGTGGGTAGTGTACCTGCCTCCTGCGCCAGAGGGTGTGGGTTCTATCCCCACTACTGGGAAAATATTGTAATATGAACAGTGTTTTTCTAGTTTCTGGGTGTTTTGGTATATGTATAATACTTATTTTTTACAAAATAAAAAGTATTTTTAGGTGTGTTTATCAGTTATCTAGTACGGATAGTACAAGCGTTGCTTAGTTTGGGACTAGAGAACGTTTTGTAAAAAATGTGTCCTTAAAATCGCCCCGGCTTCGCACGGGTGCAATGTATTATACAAATAAACCTTCCTCTTAAAACACTCTATCTAGTAAAAAAACCGCATCAAGATCCGTTGCGTGCTTTTAAAGATCTAAGCATACATAGGGACAGACACAGCGGGGCGACTTTGTTTCATAGCATGTTGCATCGATATATCGATATTTTTTCGGCATCCCTAGTCCGAAAGCGACTCCAAAAGCCGACGATAATATTATCCCTATACAAAAAAAAAATAAAGAAGCGTACCGTGGTGCGTCGCGAGGCTCTGCAGCCGCCTGAGCAGCGGCACTCCGTTGCGCGCGTGCCTCTTGAGCGTCCAGTAGGCTAACAGCCGCTTCATGAGGTGGGCGCGCGCGGCGGCCGGCCCGCGCAGCAGCGCCGCCACGTCGGCCACGCGCTCCGCGCGCAGCGTCGGCACCAGCACCACCGGCGCCCACGTGCGCGCGCGCGCCAGCACGCGTCGCGCCTGCGAATGGGGATTGTAGAGTGAGTAGCCGGCACACGACGCGCCTACGAATGGGGGATTGTAGAGTGAGTAGCCAGCACAGGACGCGCCTGTGAGTGGGGGATTGTAGAGTGAGTAGCCAGCACACGACGCGCCTGTGAGTGGGGGATTGTAGAGTGAGTAGCCAGAACACGACGCGCCTGTGAGTGGGGGATTGTAGAGTGAGTAGCCAGAACACGACGCGCCTGTGAATGGGGGATTGTAGAGTGAGTAGCCAGCACAGGACGCGCCTGTGAGTGGGGGATTGTAGAGTGAGTAGCCAGCACACGACGCGCCTGTGAATGGGGGATTGTAGAGTGAGTAGCCAGCACACGACGCGCCTGTGAGGTGGGGGATTGTAGAGTGAGTAGCCAGCACACGACGCGCCTGTGAGTGGGGGATTGTAGAGTGAGTAGCCAGAACACGACGCGCCTGTGAGTGGGGGATTGTAGAGTGAGTAGCCAGAACACGACGCGCCTGTGAATGGGGGATTGTAGAGTGAGTAGCCAGCACAGGACGCGCCTGTGAGTGGGGGATTGTAGAGTGAGTAGCCAGCACACGACGCGCCTGTGAATGGGGGATTGTAGAGTGAGTAGCCAGCACACGACGCGCCTGTGAGTGGGGGATTGTAGAGTGAGTAGCCAGAACACGACGCGCCTGTGAGTGGGGGATTGTAGAGTGAGTAGCCAGCACACGACGCGCCTGTGAGTGGGGGATTGTAGAGTGAGTAGCCAGCACACGACGCGCCTGTGAGTGGGGGATTGTAGAGTGAGTAGCCAGAACACGACGCGCCTGTGAGTGGGGGATTGTAGAGTGAGTAGCCAGCACACGACGCGCCTGTGAATGGGGGATTGTAGAGTGAGTAGCCAGCACACGACGCGCCTGTGAGTGGGGGATTGTAGAGTGAGTAGCCAGAACACGACGCGCCTGTGAGTGGGGGATTGTAGAGTGAGTAGCCAGCACACGACGCGCCTGTGAGTGGGGGATTGTAGAGTGAGTAGCCAGCACACGACGCGCGCCTGTGAGTGGGGGATTGTAGAGTGAGTAGCCAGAACACGACGCGCCTGTGAGTGGGGGATTGTAGAGTGAGTAGCCAGAACACGACGCGCCTGTGAATGGGGGATTGTAGAGTGAGTAGTAGCACACGACGCGCCTGTGAGTGGAGGGGGGCACAGCACAGACGCGCCTGTGAGTGGGGGATTGTAGAGTGAGTAGCCAGCACACGACGCGCCTGTGAATGGGGGATTGTAGAGTGAGTAGCCAGCACACGACGCGCCTGTGAGTGGGGGATTGTAGAGTGAGTAGCCAGAACACGACGACGCGCCTGTGAGTGGGGGATTGTAGAGTGAGTAGCCAGCACACGACGCGCCTGTGAATGGGGGATTGTAGAGTGAGTAGCCAGCACACGACGCGCCTGTGAATGGGGGATTGTAGAGTGAGTAGGCAGCACAGGACGCGCCTGTGAGTGGGGGATTGTAGAGTGAGTAGCCAGCACACGACGCGCCTGTGAGTGGGGGATTGTAGAGTGAGTAGCCAGCACACGACGCGCCTGTGAGTGGGGGATTGTAGAGTGAGTAGCCAGCACACGACGCGCCTGTGAATGGGGGATTGTAGAGTGAGTAGCCAGCACACGACGCGCCTGTGAATGGGGGATTGTAGAGTGAGTAGCCAGCACACGACGCGCCTGTGAGTGGGGGATTGTAGAGTGAGTAGCCAGCACACGACGCGCCTACGAATGGGGGATTGTAGAGTGAGTAGCCAGCACACGACGCGCCTTCGAATGGGGGATTGTAGAGTGAGTAGCCAGCACACGACGCGCCTGTGAATGGGGGATTGTAGAGTGAGTAGCCAGCACAGGACGCGCCTGCGAATGGTGGATTGTACAGTGAGTAGCCAGCACGCGCTGCGCCTGTGAATGGGGATTGTAGAGTGAGTAGCCGGCACACGACGCGCCTGCGAATGGGGATTGTAGAGTGAGTAGCCAGCACCCGACGGTCCTGTGAATGGGGGATTGTAGAGTGAGTAGCCAGCACAGGACGCGCCTGCGAATGGTGGATTGTACAGTGAGTAGCCAGCACGCGCCGCGCCTGTGAATGGGGATTGTAGAGTGAGTAGCCAGCACCCGAGGCGCCTGTGAGTGGAGGATTGTAGAGTGAGTAGCCAGCACTCGACGGTCCTGTGAATGGTGGGTTGTAGAGTAAGTAGCCAGCACCCGCCGCGGCTGCCCAGTCGTGAATGGGATATTGTAGAGTGAGAGAAGTACCCTCGTTCCGGGGCGGCCCTCACCGTCCCCCGCCACCGACTAATGCCCGCTTCCTATTTTGAACGAACGGCCGTTAGTTACACAGCTTCGTGACTTTCATAACGAAAAAAGTTACGAAGCTATGTAACTAACGGCCGTCTGTTGAGTATAGGAACGGGGAATAAACAAGCACAGTCAACGGCCATCGGGGTCACGGTCCTCGCCAAACCTCGATGGCCCGTAGGCGACATTTTTTTTATGTGAGAAAGTGGCAAACCAGCTGGCGGTTCACCTGATGTTAAGTGATAACCTGCCCATGAACATATGCAACACCCGTAGGGTTGCAGATACGTTGCCACCTCTTAATAATGTGGGAAGTGCAACACTTCCACTTTACGCCGGTCTACTGTGAGGTCGTGATACTACCCCGTCATGTCACAACTATGAGTATATGCGCAGCCCTACCCACTGAGGGGGGCCTCAAACCCTTGGGTTCTGGGTAGCCCACCGGTTCTGCGTTCGATGAAGCTTTAATAGTCTTAAGGACTGAAAGCATAGCGTCAGTTATACAAAAAAAAAGTAATGTATCAGCCTATACATGTCTCACTGCTGTGCAAAGGCATAGTTCACCACGAGGCCCCACTGCGGATTGGCGGATTGGGAGATTGTGACAGTGATTAAAACCGACGCTTGGTATTAATAACATAACATAACAGGCTGTTATTTTGTAACAGGTATTTGTCACTGTTACTTATAAAATCTGGAACAGGCGTAACGGGTACTCGATTTAAGCTAGTACAGCTCATTCTTACTGTGTACTGATCTAACGGCTCGATCTGCCAATCTAATTAGTAAATTACCCAGTACCTAGTAAGGTATCGGATATTTTTAAACGTATTTAAAACTCTTTTGTTACGCTAAAGATTTATTCAAGCAAGCTGGCGGTTCACCTGATGTTAAGTGAATACCGCCGTCCATGAACACTGGTCGCTGAGGCCGTAGTACTCCCCGGATGGACCTGCCCATTTGTGCAACAGCGAAGTGGCCCTACCACAGTCGAAGACGTATTGTTCCAAAATAAATATATTATTATGCATATGTATATGTAGTATACACACCTGTTTTATTTTCTCTCTCCCCTTTTGCCGTATTGCCGACAGATCGGCCGATTTGGATTCTCCCTCAGACTCCTGCGCTCTTCTTTCCTGAATTTAGAAAAGATTTTCTAAAGCTTTTCTCTCTTTCCGTGTAATTTAATGATTCAAAAACAATTTTAGAACTTATCAAGGTATCAATTAATAATTTCTAGTGTGGTGTGGGCCACGCAATAAATTCTGCTGTTGCAGAAATGGGCAGGCCAGGCAAAAGACCAGTGTCAAGTGCAAGTTTCGCTTTCAGCGTAAACACACTAGGTAAGGTAAAATAGACTATTTTCACATACTTTTTTTTTGTAAAAGTATAAATTATTTAAAGATTACCAAAAATAAAGTAAAATACGTTATTATAAAGTATAGTTAGTGTTGTAGGTGTAAGTTATATATATATATATAGTGTTTTATGTATAAATATATATATATATATATATATATAGATATATATGTAAATATAAGCAGTCTTGTTACACACGTCATCGAGTGCGTTTCATTTATAACACCTTGGATTACTACAGTTGGCATCCCTAGTAATAGGGTCCCGTTTAACCTCTGGGTACGAAACCCTAAAACAGACTTAGAAAATTAACCGCAGGTGTCTTGCATCATCACGACAACGCGCCGGTTCACAAAGAGCGCGTTGTCGTGATTATTATTATTTTTACGTAAAAAAAGTTGCATGCGAGCTGACGGTTACCTTGCTGTTAAGTGACGAGTGTCACGTCTGCTGCGGCCATTACGTGACAGATTACCTGCAGTATGTGTGCGGGCGTGTGGGCATCGCAGTAGGCCATCTTGGCCACCTGCACCGGCTGACTGGGGTCCCGCCCGCTGCCAGCCGCCTCCATCTTCATGTACAGGCTGCGGAGGAAATTGTTACAAAATCAGCGTCATAATATTCGCTAAACTAAATTGGATGGTGGTGAATATTATATTTTTATAAGAAAACTTATGAAAAATTTTAATAATTATTGAGCCGTGATAGCTCAGTGTTCGGCCGCTCGCTTTTAATTCAATATACTCGTGTTCAAATCCCGGTGCCGGCACCAATGTAATTGTTAAGTTTACGTGCTGACTTATCACGTGTTTAGTGGTGAAGGAAAAAAACATTTTAAGGAATTCGGTATATTTTCGAAATTATAACAAAAAGAAATATTGCCAATGCCTTAATACCCTTTATACATAAGCATTTGCCCAGTAGTGGGACTGGACATAATATATAAGCTGTTACTTTACTGTATAAGATTAATTATGTATATCTTCACAACTAAACATGAGGTGAGCGAAATGGGAAGTGGAATTGATACTGATGAATGACAAATAAATGATTCTAGCATACAAGGTTTCAGCTAACCGATAATTTTGGACGAGTCCTGGAGTGTTTTGGCTCCAGTGATGGAAAACGACTGTAAAATGTGTTGTATTAAGCAAAAATGTAGATACTGCACCCTGCCTGCTGTGCACAGGTCACGTGGAAAGCGGAGTAACAATTGCTCTTGTGGCACTGTATACAGGCACCGGCAGCCCTCTGCTTGCACACCATACATTGCAACTTCCACCGCGCTGCTGGTATCATCTCAATTGAGTCTGTTGAATAAGCATTTAATGGATGTAATCAAAGATATATCAATAGTTTTTTCGAAGTGAAAACTTCTTTAGCATTGCTGTGATTGGAAAATCTATGAAACGAAAAAGCGATTAAGAAAACGGGACATACATCGTGCGAAAGAATGAGATAGAAGTATATAACAGGATTTAACCTGGGAAAGAATGAGTGAGAAAGATGGTGTTAATATAGTTTTTCTTTTAAGGTAATAAGGCAATTTTAATAAAATAAGGCAAAGGCATCATAACAACCGTGTTGTACAAATAATGATAAATTAAAAAAAATATGTATATATGATGAAATTGTATATTTTTCTACTTATCTTGAATTTAAAATTTTGAAGGTTTCACGTTCGGCGTTTATTAAATATGAAGGACATATTGTAGAATAATAATTTACGAATAGGGAATTTTTGTTCAGTCAAATTTGAGAGAGATTGATAGGAGGTATAAGGTTATTTTACTAGTGGACCAAAGTCAATTCGATTTGAAATATTACACTCCAATTTTAATTATAATACTGCAATGATACATACCAATGGGCTCCAAAAACACTGTATTCGCAAAACGAACTTCTGGTATCCAGAGAGCACACACTACATGCGCCCAAGTCCCTTGATCTGTTTGCTTGAAAGCACCTGAAAAAATGATAAATATTATAAATATATAAGACATCAAAAGAGGGCCCAATTTTACCAAGTCCTCTCATTTTAATAACATCGATATGATATACAATTTATGAGTTTTGGAATGGCACATGTACGAGGGGTGATCCAAAAGTAATGATAATCGGTTACTTCAGGTCCGCATAAAAATCCAAAAAAAATATTTTTGCTTGCTTATATACTTACTACGTCAGCCTAAAAAAAATCATATAAATAGATCACGATTTCCGGGAGATACATTCATTTCAATACGAACTGTCAAAGAGATAACATCAACATGGAAAAAAAACGAAATTAGAGCTGCCATCAAGTACCTCTGTTTGAAAAAAATGTCTTCAAAAGACATACACAGTGACTTAGTGGAAACATTGGGAGACTCTGCTCCTCCATATTCTACAGTTGCACGCTGGGCCAAGTAGTTTAAACTGGGCAGAACATCCACTGAAGATGAACATTGCGAAGGACGTTCATCCACGTCCCTCACTGAAGACAACGTGAAAAAAGTCGAAGATGTTGTGTTGGCAGATCGAAGAGTGACCATCAGGCATGTAGCTGAGGTCACAGGGATCTCATATGGCAGCGTTCAAAGAATCCTTGCGAACGAGTTGCATATGAAAAAGGTCTCGGCGCGTTGGGTACCCAGAATGTTAACCGACGAGCAAAAGAAAAATCGAGTTGACATTTCGAGGGTCAATCTCGAAAAGTTCCAAGCAGATCAAGAAAATTTTTTGTTCCGTTTTGTGACTATGGACGAGACCTGGATCCACCATTTTGATCCTGAAACGAAACAACAATCGATGACTTGGAAGCGAGCCTCCTCACCGACGCCAAAGAAATTCAAAGTTTCAAGTTCGGCGGGAAAGGTTATGGCATCTGTTTTTTGGGACGCTCAAGGCATAATTATGGTGGAATATTTGGAAAAGGGAGCCACTATTACGGGCTCTTACGACGCAGACCAAATAAGAAGATTACGGGAGGCCATTAAGGAAAAAAGACGCAGCAAACTGCGAGCTGGAGTGCTGTTTCACCAAGACAACGCACCGGCTCACAAAGCCGCAGTTGCAATGGCTGCCATTCAAGAAACGGGATTCGAACTGCTCAAACACCCTCCCTATTCTCCAGATCTAGCTCCTAGTGACTTCTACCTCTTTCCTCGGCTTAAGGAACGCCTCCGAGGCAAGAATTTCGAAGACGATAGCGAAGTAATGGCCGCTGTTGAAGCGTTTTGGGAGGGTCAAGACAAAGAATTTTTTTCAAAGGGAATCCTGGGTTTAGAAAAAATATGGACTAAATGTATTGATTTGTTAGGAGACTATGTAGAAAAATGAATTATTATTTTAAATTTAATTACCGTGTTTTATTTTCATTATCATTACTTTTGGATCACCCCTCGTAGTTACAGTTTTTAATTGTACATCAAATTTGTTGATTCACAAAACGAAATCCAGAAAAAGGAAATGGAGGTGGTGATATATTTCTATAATTTGACAGAAAGAATAAGTTGTAAATATTGCACCTCCAGTATTAGGGCACAGCACACAGTTGACGAGACGTGACGGAGATTGCAAACATCTTCTGCACAGCCACTGACCCTCTGGAATATATGGTACCTATAACAATAGCATTCCATTACTTACATCCTTTCGGTCATGTTCAAGTTCAACCTATATATACATTGCCATATTCATGTACTTTTTAAAGCTTTTTCTGGGTTCTGTACCCAAAGGATAAAACGGTACCCTATGACTAAGACTATGTTGTCTGTCTGTCCTTGCATCTGTCACCAAGCTGTGTCTCATGAAAACTCATAGTTAGACGAATGCAGAAAGTTGGGGCAAATATCCCTTTATGGCCAACCGCTCACCTGGGAGAAAAAGGTCAAATACTTAGGAGTCACTTTCGACTCGCGTATTTCATTTACTACGCACATTAATAACGTTCGCAATAGAGCCGCGTTCGTCTCCGGTAAGCTACACAACTTAAATAACGCTATCAGTAAAATGCCCTTAAGGCACAAATTATTATTATAAAGGACCTGCGTACGACCTATTATGTCCAAAGCATGCATGACCTTCGCCCACACGCACCCTACTCGCTTGTACAAGTTGCAAATAGTTCAAAATAAGTTCATCCGCCGCGCAATCGGTGCGCAGTGGTATCAACGCAACGTCGACCTGCACAGCGATTGCAGACTCTCGACGATTCGCGACAATTTTAAAGACCTTACCAAACGGTTCTTCGATAGAGCCGAACATCATCCCAACCCTCTGGCGGTAAGCGCAGCAAATTACCAACCCGACACAAACGCGAACATCAACAAGCGTCGCCAGCGAAAGGTCCTCATCGACCCGGTCGAGGAACGGGACTTAGATACGCAGGACCCACCGCCGGGGGTCCCGCCGGATAACACTACTCCCACAGTTAGTGCAACAACAAACACACTAGTTCGCCCTCGCCTCCGAGCACGGCGAGACCAACACAACGCGTACACAAGGTACACCCGAGTTCCGGGGCGGTTTTCACCGCTTCCAGTCACCGATTAGCTAATTGCACAGTCGACGGCCATCGGGGTTTAGCTCCGAACCGCGACCTCGATGGCCCTTAGATGACACACCATACTTAAACGCACGCATGAGCAAATGCGCGGCCCTACCCACAAGGGCCCAAACCCGTGGGTTCTGGCTAGCCCACCGGTTCTGTCATGTCTGTTGCTGCTATAACAACAAATACTAAAAAACAGAATAAAAAAATACTAAGTGTGGCTCCCATACAACAGTCATGATTTTTTTGCCGTTTTTATAGATAATGGTAGGAATCCTTCGTGCGCGAGTCCGACTCGCACTTGGTAGGTTTTTACGTTTTCCCTTTTAGAATTTTGCTAAGTTGAATTAAACAATTTATTTGGTGCCTGCATCAACTCAATGGAATTTCAACTCAGGTTAGTGTAAAATATTCAATTGAACGCATTTACAACAAAAATATAGGCCTCACCCCATAACAATCCTGATGCACTGCAAGATTACACATGTCACAAAATAATATGACATTGGTATTTTGACATTCCCCATCCATACAAATACAGCAAACTGCGTCTTCGTCTACTGTAGCAGCCGTTTGTTGACCAGTTTGAGTTGCCTGGGGAAGAAGCATTACAGTGTTTTCCATTATTTTACCTTAACACCCCTGTCTCTTTAAGAATTCTTCTCTCTCTCGTCTCTTTGAGTCTGTTGTGTCATGTTTTAGTCTTAGTCTTTGTCTCAGCTGAAACTTATTTTAATCTCGGTCTAGGCAAAGATAAAAAAGATAAGGTTTGGTCGGACATTAATGACAAGATCCTTCACTTGAATAGATGTATCAACTCATTAAATTTATTTTAAGTTATTTTATAGTTTAGAACTAGTGTCTAGCTGAAGAGAAAAAATCAAAACCTGAAAATATGATTCCTTCTCCAATCTATCCATGAGCAATTCAAGGGTGTCAACAGAAACCGGAGGAAGTCCTTGTTTAGCCCTACTTTTATTGATAATGGCCAGCCAAGCAGTGTCTTCTTCATCCACATCATATTCAACTTCCCCATCTAATTCTTCTGCTGATTTTTCTATAAACCGAATATAAGCATTTGGCCGTGCAGGAGCATCACATACTCTTTCATTATAATCAGGAATTAGCTGCAATAATTGAAATTAAATAAAAAAGATGCTACAACAATTAAAAACAAATAATATCGATATTAGAATTTTAATACGATATATTGTGAGAATTGCTTTCGATGTCAAATATTTATCTCTGTGTCTTATTATGTGTCAAAGTTTTTAGGTTCTTCTTCTTCTTTTCTTTTTTGGCGGTTTTCAATGAATACGCCAATGAACACTTCTGGTTGTTTATTTTTGCCTAACTTTTATAATGAAATGATGAAGAGAATGATTTTATGAATGTTAAATATATATATTTTTTAAATATATATATATAAGTTTTTAGGTTATTTGTTAAGATTTTAAATTCAAAATTTAAAAATAATAATAATTAGGCTATATGGTCAAATTGAAAATATCCAATCAAAGGTTTTAAAATGGAACTGAAGGTACAGTATAACTTTAACTGAAGTATCTTTTCTCTTTTAACATCTAAGTAAATATATTGGTACAAATTAATATAAAAAATATATAATAAAAGTTGATACCCTAAAACTAGCTTCAGGAAGCTTAACTTGAGGCTCTGGAGGTGGTTCCACTACAGGTAATGGTTTTTCCAGTTCTGCATTCTTTTTTTCCCATTCTTCTAGTGATATAATCGGCAGAGGTTGATCAATTGGTATTCTACTAATCTTACCATCAACCTCGAATTGTACGACTTTTTGGGCTTCAGCAAATGTTAAAGCTTCTTTTGGAGGACTTTGGAGAGCAATATCACCGGTAGGCACTGCGGCTCTAGCTCTCCCTTTTTTACGACATATATTACGAACAACCGTAGGAGTTGCCGGCGTTGGATTATCATGATCATAGTTCACGAGGTGATACTGTAGTCCGCATAGACTTTTATATACTTTGTCACATTTTTCAAGAGGACATTGATAGGGTGGCGGCCTGTTTTGGCGTAACTTTTTACAAAATTCTAAAACATCAAAATCCAACCCCATTATAGACGTTGATTTAGCATTCTATTTCATACATGAAAGAACTCCTGTACAACAATTTTGTATTGAAATCGATGTATAAATGGCACTAAGATATAATTTCAGCAAAATTACTACACCGTAATTGTTATTGACAAAAAAGTGAAAGGATGGCGAAACACACGACCAATCAGAAGATATACGCACGCAACAACGATTCTCTCCCAAATTCTCAAATCTCAATCAACTTAATTCAGAAAAATTGAAACAAAATTGACACCATAGATCAGGGTGACCATCTCAAAAATGGTGAATCTGCCCGACACTAGGAAAGATTTGCCAATATCTGCCAAACTCAACTACAAAATATGCCATCATATTATTGTATCGTTGGATACAGTACAGTAAAATTAATGAAATAGACATTCGACTCTTTTGCATGAGGCTTTTGACATCTTCTTCTTTGTCGTTCTCTCACTGCTGCGGATAGTGACTCATATTCAATTGGTCAACGAGCTGTCTCCATCGGTTTCGCTCTTTCGCCTTGTGAAGTGCGGTGCTTATAGGGATTTTTAAGTTTTCAGAAATTTGATCCTCCGACCATTTAAGATTACGGCCTCTAGGTCTTTTACCCTCTGTTTTAGGCAAACTTTTTTTGCTTTTGCAAGTTTGAAATATTTCAAAAGTAAGTTAAAATTTTTGTTTTTACTTGAAAATCTATTCGGTATAATATTTGGTAAAACTGCAAGCGTAGATGTAGTTGTGACTAGTTTACAATAGCAAGCTTTGCAAAATGAAATATCAGGATCCTCCTTAGTTCTGGAACTCCAGAAAGGATGTTGTTCCCACTCAGGTCGGTACCAACGCTCGTATTTTCTCTTCTTCATGCACGGAAGACAAATACACACATTAATACAATAATCGGGAAAACCCCGTACTGTATAGTAGAGATGGTGCGTATTTACGTTACCAGGTATCGATACCAGGTATTTCCTTGAAAGTATACCAACCAGGTACCGACTCGATATACTTGCAAGACTTGAAAGTATTTTTCCTTTGAAGTATACGAGCCCTTCAAAGTAAGTATTATTACGTCGATCTAACTCGAACGTGGAACGAATCGAATGTAGTGTTGTTGTTTGTTTGTTGTATGTTTTTTAACATTAAAATATGTAGAAAAAGTGCGAAAAGATTGTCGCCGCTGTGGGAATCGAACCCACGTCTTCGGCATTCGCGGCCTGACGCTCTGCCACTGAGCTAAACGGCTGATTAGCACACCGACGAAAATCTTAACGCATTCTTCTACATTGTTTTCTTAGCATTTGAAGTAGCGTGGGTTCGATTCCCACAGCGGCGACAATCTTTTCGCACTTTTTCTACATACATATTTTAATGTTCAATCTTAAGTGCAAAGATTAGCACTATAAACAATTTAAAAAAATTTCTAAAAAAGCAATGGCGACATCTCTCGTTCGAATTATCGTTGTAAAACGATATTCGAAATTGTTTGTATGCTGGAAAGGATATAACAATAGATGGCGCCAAGCATTGCTTCAACGTGGGTTCGATTCCCACAGCGGCGAAAATCTTTTCGCACTTTTTCTACATATTTTAATGTTCAATCTTAAGTGCAAAGATTAGCACTATAAACAATTTAAAAACAATTTTTAAATTTAAAATAACGATTTTTTTTTATATTATAGGTAGAGGCAAAATAATTATCTGATAAAATAAACCATTTCATTCAAAATGGTCAAGGACATCAAAAATAATATAATTCATTTGAAATGAATATGTTAAGAATAAAATCAAAACAGTATAAAAAAAAACTATGATTAGAATACATAAAATATTCATATCAGACACATAGGATTTGGCCTTACGTCGTCCAAAGCAACAGAGCGCTGTTATTCATTTTAATATGATAGTAGTTCATTTTAATAATAATAATAATAATAATAATAATAATAATAAATCTTTATTTCAGACCAGGGTCCATATTTGGTTAGTACAAAACAAAATGAAAAAATCAATAAAGGGAAAATAAATTAAAAATAAATCAAAATAAATTAAAATTAACTAAAATTAAAAAAATAAATCAAAAGAAATTAAAATTAATATAATTAAGACTAAGATTAACTAACATTAAATACACACACGCTTGTTAGCATATGTGTGTGCACCATTCCAACTCCTCCAGAGTGGGCTGTCGAGTTTGCACGCCAAAGTGCTGAGAAGGGCATTGGAGCTGTTCACTAACCGGCTCATCATGGATGCAACACGTTTCCGGAAGATCGCGTAGAAGTCGTCTACACGAGCCTCCGCAAACATTGCAGATGCACTGCAGTGACGCGGCTTCCCCAATACCGCTCTCAGCACATTGTTGTACTGCACACGAAGAGTTTTCTGAAGGTCCGCTGCGTGTAGTCCGCCCACAGACTGCACGTGTAAAAGGTTTGGCAGTAGGCTCTAAACAGCGTTAATTTTACCTCTGAATTACAACGCGCAAATCTGCGGGCCAACATATTGCCCCGGACCGACAGCGCCCTTCGCTCCCTCTCTATATCACCGTCGTCCACGAGGCGCTCGTTAACTATATGGCCGAGATACTTGAACTCCGCCACCTGTTTCAGGGGAATACCACACAATCGTATGATTGGCTGAAAATTGGTGGCTTTGTTTTTTCCCCTGAACACAAGGAACTCGCTCTTTTTGGCGTTGTATCTGAGTCCATTTCTCTCAGCATAGTCCTCACAGATTTTAAGTAGCTTCCGGAGGCCACTGACCGAAGGACTAAGCAGAACCATGTCATCCGCATAGCTGATGTTGTTTATAAAGACACCATCAACTGAGCATCCGACACCAGCTCTGCTCAGCCCCTCTATCAGCTGGTTGACAAAAATGTGTTGAACAGCCTCGGTGACGTAAGCCCACCCTGCCTCACTCCACAGTTCAGCTTGTAGGGGTCACTCATAGCGTCTCCCCATTTTACGACATTTGACTGGTTACCGTACCAGTACTGCAACAACGATAACAGCTCCGGCCTTAGGCTCGTTTCCGTCCTAAGTTTATGCCATAGTACTTTATACGATACAAGGTCAAATGCTTTTGACAGGTCCAGGAAGCACGCATACACTTGCGTTTTTCTGTCAGTGTAGTACCGTACAGTCTGCTTGAGACACATTATTGCGCTCTCGGTAGACAATTCGGACTGAAAGCCGAATTGAGCGTCGTTAATTTTAGTAGCTTTCTTTAAATGTATTTCAAGCAGACTGTCCAGAACTTTAGCTACGATTGTCGCTAGGGATATAGGCCTGTAGTTGGACCTATCCGCTACATCGCCCGTCCTGTTCTTCACTATAGGCACGACCACCGTCATCATCATTGCATCCGGCAGGTGACCATGACTGACACAGAGGTTATAGAGCATGGTAAGGACTCTGGAAAGGTGCACTCCAGCATATCGCAAGTGTTCGACACTCAGGCCATCATGCCCCGGGGATCTCCCCCGCTTCATACTCCTTATTGCGTCATTCACCTCACAAACAGAGAAGCTCAATGAGTCTACCCAAGGGTCTACGGTGTCCCGAGCACCGTCCACTGTTTGACCTACTATACTTAGGGGTTCCTCCCTGAAGTGAGTCCTAAACATATTGGCAATGTTCTGACTCCCTGTTATGCCTCCCACTTCCACAGGAAGGCCCGCCCGTGCATTCAGTCTATTTGTTTGTTGCCAGAACCTACTAAACTGCTTAGTCTCGTGTGTAGAGGCTAAAATGTCCATTTTTATTTGATCTTCATGGTCCTGGCACCATTTTAGTTTATTTTTGAAAAGCCTACGAGACTCCCGCATATCGTCGTATGTAACTCCACTACTCGGCCTCCCAGCCATAACCCACGACTGAAAACACAGACGAGCTCTCCCGTGTAGTGGCCTTACATGCCTATTCCACCCCGTAACATAACCTTTTTTATTTTTCCTTACAATTTTATGACTAGCTATTGCCCCTGACTGCAATATGCTTACAATATGAGAGTACATATTATCGATAACTAGTTTATGTTCATCATTACAACAGGTTTTGCCACAACATTTCGTAAGCTCCATAGGAAAAAGTACTTTACTTAGCTTCTCATCACAAGTTTTCGTAAATAGCTTAGTCTGGTCACTATCCCTCTGCCCCCAAAATATCTTATTATTAGAAACTCGAGATGATGATACAAACTGAGTATGTAAGGGGTTTAGGTTACAAAAAATTTCCAAAGGATAGTGATCAGACCACGAGACACTGTTATTTACGGTTATATTCTCAATGTAACCCCTAGCCATCCTAGTTACCAAACAATGGTCAAGCCAACGTGTGCATTTGGCAAAAGTTCAAAGTCCGCACAACACCATTTTTGTTCCACACAAAATTGCTGCATTTCATTAAAAAATAATTCACCTGGTTGAGCATTAAAGTCTCCTAATACAAATACCATACTAATACCACTGTCCTCAACAACCGCATTAATCTCGCTCAAACAGTCTGTGAATTCTGGCAAGTTGTCAGTACAGTCAGTAGGCATGTATACCGAGAATATCAACAGATCACCTTCACGCAATTTACACTTTATAGCACAGAGCCTCGCATTATTGCACTTCACAACAGATACCGCCGTAAACGCACTCTTACGCCATAACAGCGCGACGCCCCCGTAGGGACGGCCGCGTAACATGCCTGCACTCATATCTACCGCTGACGTCCCTGTGGCTGCAAACTCGTCATTAACAGTACTTAGGTAGGCCAAATCATGCGGTAGCAACCAAGTTTCCTGCAGCGCAACCACGTCCGCCGCCACACAAATACTTCTCACACTATCTATTGTATATAATAAGTAGTTTTATTCGAAAATGTGACAAAATTTAACTCACAAAAAAATGTTCCCGTAAAAATGTACCTTCTAAAAAACTTTCATTCCACATTTTTTATTTCTAAATTTAGGAAGAAAATTTCTAAGTGGCCAAGGGACTCTCTCACTTGATTAAATAACTTATTTTCATATATCTAAGGTTCAGATTGTCTTTATACGTAAAGAAAAATACTTTCATAGTATTTTACGTCTTCATTGGAATATTTTGAATCTTATATGTATTGCAACAAGGTTTAAATTTGCAAGGAAACAAGTATTCGACTCGTTACGTTTAACAGAAAATACTTTGAAAGTATTTTGACACCTGGTTTCTGTACTTGATATGAGAAGGTAGAAGTACTTTTAAAACCTGATACGCGATATATCAAGTATAACCCATCCCTACTATATAGCATGGGATGAAAGTTGCCACATAAGAAAATAATTTGTTACCAAATAATGATAAAAGTAAATAACACATAGTGTATCATGTAATCATAAGTAATCTAAATGCAAATATTAATTTTTACATACAAATGTATTTAAAAAATAATAAAGAATTCCTTGAAATAAGGTAATAAAAATAAGGTAAATTATGGTACAAATACAAGTTCAAAAAGATAATATTGCCTACTTTTTATCCTGTTGACTCAGAACCTTGATTTTTATACACCTAATGGGAACTATAAATTTCAGTATCTTGTATAAATTTCAACATGCTAGGTCTACGTCACTGAGGAAATAGGTGGTGACACCCGGAGAGACGTCTGTCCGTCTGGACAAGAGTGATCTTATAATAAGGGTTCCTTTTATACCTTTTAAGATACTGAAACCTAAAAAGAGTTTTACTATATGCTCTACTGCACTTTGCCATTTAATATTAAATCATATAAATTACAAATATAAAGGAATAATAATCAGCTCATTTTATTGAATTATGTTGAAATACTTGATATAGGCAATGCAATGTGTTACTTTTCTAAGTTTAAGATTTAAGTACAAGTACAGTGTTCCACATACATTTTGACCTTACTGACTGACCTGACTTAACTGGGCCCATATTTATTGGTTCTGTGTACACGCAAGGAGGGTTCATGGTAGGATACTATTACTATTATTTACAATATAAAAGAAACATTTTTTTATTGCGGGTAGTTTCGGTACAATGTCATCATCATCCTCCTTTTTTTTTTGTTTACGTGGGGGAAATGCCCACGCATATCCGTCCTCGCGGGGGCAAGAGCGGGTTATGTCGGATTCGCACCGAGGAAAAACCGCCATGATGTTCCACCTAGGCGTATATCGGCAGGGGCACGGGAACACTTTCGCACACTTCCGCGGCCCTGCCAGCACTGGCCGCCTCAGCAGCCCCCTCCCGGAGAGCAACTCCCCTCTCCTCCAGGTAAGGCGCGCTGGAACATTCAGCGCGCCTTCCTACTCGGCACCCTTGTCACAGTTTGCTGGTCTGTGGCTCCGCCGCTCACCAGGTTTCGGCCGCGGACGGTAGGGAAAACGGCGTATCGTAATACCGACATGGCTCTACCTCTACTACCGTCAACCTGTCCCCTGCACCCTCCCGCACGCATCCAGAGTGGGCTCAATGAGCCCACTCGGAGCGGCCCTCTCGGGCATTACACCACAGGCCGGCCCAGTGTAACCCACCTCTTAGCTTTGCCGTGGGTGACCAAGCCACAGTTACTAAGCCCCTCCGCCACGTTAAGGCGGGAACTCGGTCGGAGGGAATCATCATCCTCCTGGCTTTATACCACTTAAGTGCGGTTTGTACGACATGTGAATCATGGCTATATTTTTTTAGACCGGCCCGCCTTCTGCCTGTCGTCAACCCTTCTTGGAAAACAAACACCCAGATCCGGAAAAATTATGTAAAGATTATCGAGACCTGGAAAAAATAATTTCACGCCATGTGAGAATCAAACCCACGACCGCCTCCGAGAATTTCGGTACAGTGTAAAATTATATTTTGGGGAGATTCCCAGGATACCAATTTGAATTAAAGTTTAAAGTTAAGCATTGAGTAAATTAAATAAAGTAATAATTCAAACTCGTAATATCAGGTCAAATTCTCGAACATTCTTGTTTCTTCTATGACATTATAAAGTACCTGTTACTAACTGTCATATCTGTCTGTCTATTAAGTTGGCGAGAACCGAGAAGTGTCAATAAATAAGTGTTATTTGTGTTATTGTTTGTAGTAAATTTCTTTATCTACGTGTAAAATAAGTATATTTTCAAGTTATTTTTGAAAATTCGAAGAGAAGTTGTTTCGAAAATGGATGTTTATAGATATCCTCCGTATCAATACGGGCAGTCAGATGAACTAGCAAAACAAATGTTAGCCCAACAAGCCCTGTCTACAGGAACAGGACTCCCATACCACCGAACAGGCCAAGAGCCGCATACAATGCCAGCACCATCTAGTGCTCCTTGGAATGTCCAAGGAGTTCCTTGGGGAATGACTTCGCCTCCTCAATTAGTTCAGTTCACTGCACAAACATCAGCATTGGAATCTCAACCAACTCCCGTGTTACATTGCAAGAGAAAAAGCTTTGATGTCGAACCCGTTATGTAAGTAATAACTAACTTATAACGCTAATCTTAAGATTTGTTGGAATCAGTAGATTTGTCCTGATTTAAATAAACTTCAATTTAAAGATCTTTGTAAACTTATATGTTAAGGTCGATTTAGTGTATTGTAAACTTGTTAGTGTATTATATTCCTTTCTGTCACATTCTCTTTTGCTTAGCGTTGTCATACATGATTAGATGATGATGATTTTGATCATATTACTTAGACCAGCAAAGCAGCTAATAACAGAAGAAAAAATGGCAGCCCATTTAAGTGGACTTCACATTTCATCAGACTATACATCACATTCATTATCAAAACAACCAGAAGAAACCATGGATATTGCGATGGAGTCAACAGTATCTATAAGCGATAAACTTAAAGGTCACAAAATTGTTCTATCCGAAGAGCTCAAAAAGTTACAAGAAGAACCTTTATTACCTCCTTCACTGATAGAAAGGTAATTTTTATAACAGTCTACTGATAATCTTTTTTTTAATTTTGAAATTTAGTAACATCATTACATGAACTGAAATTCTGTACCTTTCAAGTGTTATCTACTTGACTTATATTTAAATATTTTTCCTTACTTTTTCCTTACTTAGGTTTTTACCAGATATCAAAGCGGCTTTTCGTAATTTCCAAACACATACTTTGGCATTGCTGGTTACCCTAAATTGGACAATCCAAGACAGCTAATACTATCAATGAATTATTTGTAGACTTTTTATTAATAGTTTTTATTAGATTCACCTGTATGTATGAACAAATGTAAGGGAATCTTTAAACATAATTTCGACCTAGTTTGAACGATCAGATTTGAATCTTTTGAACTTTGCACGCTTGTCAAAGACCTATGACAATGCAACAACTTAAATAGTTTTTCCCACTATTGTCTTTGGAGTCAATTGTTATGATATTTTAATGACAGTATATACCATATACTGGTAAAAGTAGTAATATCTTAAAAGGCACCCCCAACTTTTCTACAATACAATATTTTTTGTTAATGACACTATTCTAGTTTAAATTTATCGGAAATTATTTTCTACTTTTTATTTCGGTCATTTATTAAACTATATTTATTTTATTTTATTAAGGCGTTCATACAACATATTACACATTAATACAGATAAGTATATGAACATATTCAACCCATATACCCAAAGTTAGATATAGTAAAGTTAGCTAGTTAAAGTTACTACTGTTTTAATTTAATTACTATCTTTAAATATTTTTTTTTTAAATATGAAGGCGTATTAGCAAAAATATCAACACTTGTGAAGTTGTCCTTGTATGATTGTACTATGTGTTGCATCTGTGAGCATTACAGATCCACAACTTTAGATCACATCTCAACATCAAACTAGGCCACTATAACTTTTGTTATTGTTGTTTTATTGTTATTGTTGAAAATGCTTGTTTACATAATAACTATTGTTTTCAGATTAGAAAAACCACACATGTCACTGGTGGTTTGGAAACCTAAAGAAAATATATTAAACCTAGAAAAAATAAAAGAAGTGGAAGAGAAACCACAAGAGGAACAGAAGAGAAGAAATGGGATTTTAGTCAGTGACCTAACGGGAATGGAAGTTGAAATGTCATGAGAAATTTGTCTGTAAGTGTTTTATGTTAGAGTGGGATGTTAGTAATAATTCTTTTTTGATGATAATCTTGATATTCTAACATATTCTTTTTTATATTGTAGCATAATAGAGATCCTATATGTACCTAAGCTATCTTTAGATGATAAAACCTTTGAAAAACTTCAATTATCTTAAAGGGGTTAAAAATTGAATTTCATGAAAATTGCACTTTCATACATTTTTAAAACCATGAAAAATCATTTGTATTACTGATAAGTGAGATTGATCTGAAGCATGATTAGGGCATTATAGTACTTGGAGATAAATATTGCAACCTTTGGGACAGCTAGTTTATTTCATACAATATTGCAATACATATTTTTTAGTTGTTGTACAAGTGTGGGACAGAGATAACATATTCAATAAAATCTATGTATTCAATATTTATGCCAAAGTACTGTAATTACGAAAACAACCCAAAAAAAAAAGTTTGAGATATATCTAGAAATGGCTAAAAATGTGTAATAAACTATATAATACATATTATTTTGTACCAACCTAAGTCTCTTAGTGGTTTTAATTCAAGATAAAATTCAAGTTATGCTTTCGGTTACTTTGTAAATTACCAAATTATTAGATCCATACTTTTATCTATCTTTTAACATTTTTTATTAAATCAAATAGTAAGCTATTATTTTATTTCAATGTTACTTACTCCTATTTGAGAGAAAGTTTGCAAGATTTTTTCATAACAGCCAGACCATACAGTCTTTTTTTAAATAACTTTTCTTGAAATTTCTTAGTGTTTTTGGTCATAGTTGGCACATCTGTTATTCTTTGATTATGGTGTTATTTTTTGATTAAGATTCAATCTTGTAGGTTCACTAGTATACAGTAAGAATCGACATTATGATGTAGCGTAGATTAAGAAAAAATCTGTTATTTAGCATCAAAAATAATAATAGAGTAATGAAATTGAAAGCTTGAAATTCTCTATAGTTTGTAAACCTGAAATGTCATGTTAATGAAAGCAGTGATTATTTCAAATTTGTTAAGTTTTCTTTATAAGTCTTATATTAAGAAATCAGATGAAAATGATCATATTGGGTCAGAAATGACTTAGAGACAAATTGCTCTTATGTATAACAACAAATTATTTGACTGAGTATATATAAAAATGTGTGTAATTCATTTCTTGTATTATCATAACATAGAAGTGTATAAAATAAGGTATTTAGCTTTATTTTAATTAAACTTGTGGTGAATTCAAAGTAGTTTGACACTGAATGTGAAGATGGTTTTTATGTGTATTTTGTTTTATATAATAAAGTTATAAAAATCGTCAGCATTTATTTTAATATTCCTTTCATTCATAGACTAAAAAAATAACAATACCTACAAATATAAAATTATTTTACTAGTCTCTGCTTGCAATGTCCTTGACGACCTGTGACCCATTTATTATGATGTTCCCTATGTTCAAATTGAACATACTGTTAATAATAAAATTTGGACTATTTGCAGTAGATTCCAGAAAACTAAACTCTAAATTAAAAAAATATAGTAAAAGAATGTTTGTGTGTTAAAGGCTACTATAATATTAATGTAGTAACTAATTATTTAAATGATAACACACTGGTAATGAACTGATCGCTCCAGTCTCTTTCAATCATAGTTCTTATATTGTATTTTTAATGAATTCATGTCAAACTGCTTATTTAAAAAAAAAAGCCCGCTGAGTTTCTTTCGCCGGTTCTCAGTACAGTGGCTTTCTTTTCCGAACCGGTGGTAGTGTTTTTGACTATCAATAAGCAAGTGTAATGCTCCTATGTTGTATAAAGACGTTTGATTTTGATTTTGAGAGAAAAGTTTCAGTTTTTAGTATTTTATAAATTGTCCGCTAAGATATTTACAGCGAGGAAATGGGAGTGGTTGTATCTAAAGAGATAAAATCGATGACCTGGGCGATTGGGTTATAAACTTATAAACGACTTACAGACTACGTAGCTACTTAGATACCTTAGGAAAACAAAAATGTTCATTATGCAAAATATCGGTGATTGGCGGCATTTTTTACAGTACGCAGTGCGACAATGTTGAATCCGTCTTTGCGCTAACCATTGCGAGCGAATGGAAAAGTAACTCATAAGTTCGCAGATCAATCGCAGCATCAAGCCGAATTTACACAAGGAGTGTTTATCGCATGAGAGTGGTAGTTTCTTGCTTTGCAATAATCTATCGCCTTTGGCATTCGTAATGTAGACAACCACAGGAGAGTATCGCATGGCGATTTCTCGCATAGGATATTCGCTCATGATTTTTCGAGAAGGCGTATGTTACGCGATTTTTATTAACATTCATTTATTATATATGTACTTTACTATTTTATGTCATAGCTCAATGTCCGGGTGCTCGCCTTTAATTCAATATACCCGAGTAACCTAGTATGTACGACAGGACCCTTCGCTCTTCACTAACCCTTTATTTCAGCATCAGCCCATAAGCTCTAGCTTCGACCAATCATTGTTTCCTGTCCAATCTATTCTTCTTTGAAATTATTATATACATGACTAGCGGCTGTTGGCATATCATAGCTATGGTACCGGTACTAGGTGTTATCAGGGTAACGTCAACCTGCATTATGATTGAAGACTCCCGACGCTACGCGAACACTTTAAAAAATTAACCGGGGTCCCGCAACATTATAACCAGACATAGTGCTAACACAACCTATTAATTCATCCTCAACTACGAGCACGGGACGGGGAAACCAACACAACGGGTACCCAAGGTACACCCGCGTGTCAGGGCGGTTCTTACCAGTATATGTCTTATCTATTTTTTTTATCTGAAATTTTGCCAAGCGAGCAGGCGGCTCACCTGATGTTGAGTAAATACCGCCGCCTTTTGACATCTGCTTATCATCTTTTCTATGGTTCTTACCGCTCAATCACCCAACGCTAAGTTCGTGGGTTCTGGCTACGAGTTCTGCATTCGATGAAGCTTTAAGTCTCTAAACGGACTGGCAAAACATCAGTCAAAGTATAAAAGTAACAAAAATGTGAAATAATAACGAAATCGAAACTAGGTCAAGCCCGGTATTAAAGGAATAAATATTAAAGCTCAACTTCAAAATTAATTCTTTATTTCAATCATGAACACTTCAACAATAAATATAACAATACATAACTATATGAGAATTCGATTCCGATCATCTTAAATTAAACAATACTGATAGTGATTTATTATTTGTTGGATAGCAGAATTATCCGAACATTTGCATATTTTCTTGAGTTTACTGAGGTGAACAGTGTCAATTAAGGCATGATTCATTACACTTGTAAGTTGTAGGTAGTAAAGGTTATGTATACAATAGTCTTTATGGTGTTTGTAAATAAAACTTTACAGTGTAATCTACCTACAAATTTGAAAATAAGTCTCGTTTAAGTCTAATATTTTAATATACAGAACTTAAAAAGAAATAATTTAAATCTTAACATAAATACTTAATCATTCACATAATATGTCTTTGAGACAATTTTTACTACTGTGATCTATCTAATATCTAACTATCCGCTGTAGTTATGGCAGCAGGAATAACCATACTAATTTTATTTTATTTTTACAAAATTTTTCCATTTATGTCAAGAAGTTGGCGCGATGAAGTCCATCAAGAAATTGAATAGAATGTCATGTCTAAAAAAACATAAGACCTGGCTATATACATGGTTTTACACATAAAGGTTCAGCTTCAATGCTTTTATGTGATAAAACTATTGATTAATATTCAAAATTATATTTTTAAGACTATTTCGTTTCATTTCATCTTCGGAATCAAGGTTATTGCTTCAGAAAAAGAAATGGTACAGCAGATTATCTATGTTGTTTGTTTGTATGTTTTAAACCTAGTCATTTCAAATGTCAACTAATAACATCATTTTTCCTATTTCTTATCTAGGGCGGCAATTTACGCGCACATCAAACGTTTGACTTCCGTTGTACATATATCTTATTTAGTAGCTGATATTAATGTTACTAAACACTAAGCTTCGTTTCATGTGTAAACACTGCTTTTCGTGTTAAAAGTCGTTTTAAATTTCGATATCACAATATTTTTTTTTAGATATAGTTGGGAATAGGTGGACAAGGAGTCGATCTTTATGTCGCTTAAATATGTTCGTTTCGATTTCTACCGTTGAGCGTCTGGCCGAATTTGCCTCGTCCCTCAAAACATGTTGACCTTGACAGTGGCCGTGTCAAGGTCTCGCTTCATATTCTCCAGCTGCTCGATGTCCTGCACAGAAGTCTCGCACTTTTGCACAACCAGGGAATGGTAGAAGTGGATCGCGAACGCAACGAACACTACGAGCACTGTGAATAAAAGGCGATTATGATGTATAATTAAAATAATCAGCTATGTTAATAGACGTGGATAATTTTTTATGTGTGAAGGTGGCAAACGGGATGGCGGTTCGCCTGATGTTGAGCGATAACCGCCGCCCATTGACATTTGCAACACCCGTAGGATTGCAGATGCGTTGCCACATTTAAGACATGTAAATCAAGAGAAAGATATAACAAAAAATTGCCATGGCAACTCCATGAAGTTGGTGTCACGCATCATAAAAATTCCCTCACATAATTTTTCCCAAACGCGCCAAAAGAAGTGCGAACTTTGAAAAAATTTGCGATGAACAGTTTGTTTTTCTAGCGTCTTGTTGTTAAGTATTTATGTTATCAAGCACCAAAAGCGGTAGCTTTGCTTAGTTTGGGACTCGACAATGTTGTGTATAATCGCGGTTGTTTGTTAAAACTGAGAGCTTGCTGTACCCACCTGGTATGACTATGACGGTGGCCGCCGTGGCTGCGGCGAACGAATAGTCCCAGAACTTAACCCAGCACAGGATAGCGATTTCCACCAGGAACAGAAACAGACCTGGGGGCAGATGTTAGGTTAGAATGTTCTGACGATCACACAGTTCTTGAGACAATACCGACATATCGGTGTAGTAGGTGCATATTAGTATTTATTATATTACTAATTTACAAAGACAATTTATACTACTCGTACAGATATGTTATACCTACGCATACAAAATTACCGGTCGAAAGTGTGCCTTTATCCAAAAAGAGTGACTTCAAACATTCTCACGTTTCGTTCGAATGGTTTAAATGATAGCGTATTTTTTTATGTTATAAGGTTGCATGCGATCTGGCGGTTTGCCTGCTGGTAAGTGATAACCGACACCCATAGAAATTTGCAATTTTTTTTATAAAGTGGGCTCCGCGACCAAGTATAACGCTTCCACTTGATAACGGTCTTCTGTGGTACTTCCCCGGACGGGCCTGCCCAATCGTGCAACCGAGCGAAAGACTGTTGCGTGGCCCTACCACAGTAAAAGAAATACGAAATAATAGGACGGCAAGTGTTTACTTTCCGTCTCCGTATAAAACTTATTCTCTTCACTCCAGGCGCGTTAACAACATAACAGTAGTATAAAATATCATTGCTAATCTACTTATATAGGAGTTTGATTACTGCTTTACGTAAATGGTGGGTCAACAGTGGAATAAGATTGCTTAAACACTAGTTTGATGAAGGTTCGCCACCACGTGCTGGAAGATAGCATGTTAATATTAACCCGGCAAACAATGGCGTTGCCCAATACGTGCAGTGTATTATGTACGTCAGTTTAGCCAAACCATTAGCTCTGTGTTCCATGAACAAGAAACAAAGACGGTCTTTGTTAAGTAGTTCTACAACATATAGTTATAGGACATTTCCTTCGTAGGCTTAATTAATAAATAAAGTAAGGAAACGACTGTGCAGTAGGCTTCCACTACCTTTAATAGCTACGTGCAGTGCATCCATCTGTGTTAATATTCACACAACATAAAACTTCTAAGTAACAAAGAAACCTTTGCCAAGAAGAACAAATACAGTGACAGTATGGAGAAAGGGTTGGGTTGTAAGTTTCAATGACCACTGCGACCTAGAAAGATCTATTGTAGCCTTCCTTCTAGAACATTGCCACTTACTGTAAGGTAACATCATCCTGTGTAATGCCATTCTAGTCTATAAACTAAGCAACAAGCTCATTGATTAAAAGCAGACCACGCACCTAAGACCGTGCTGAAGGCCCACGCCAGCTCGATGAATCCCCTCATCCGCTCGTGGGGGGAGTCCCTCAGGGCTCTGGTGGGTCCGCCCGGCGTCTCCATCTTGCTCACCGCGTCGATGTTCGGCAGCAGGTAGGTGGAGATCATCAGGGCGAATATGTGAACCGCCACTAGCACAGTGGTGCACACCGCGAACATCACGAACAACCACTCGGGCACGTTAGTAGGCTCGTTTATCTGCAACTCCACCATGGCCACCATAGCGAAACCTATGGAGATGTGATGTTATTAATTGACACGCATTTCGTTGTCTTGCTTTTGGTGGTCCACTAAATGATAAGAGAATGCCGTGGCCCACGGGCACCTTAGAGGTCACAGATGCATTGCCAACCTTTAATAGAGTGCTCCGAGTATCACACTCTTGAGACGAAACGGGAAAATGTAATACATTCCCTAAGCGCCAGTTTTCTGAGGCCTTGGAACATTTCCAGGCGAGCCTGCCCGTGCAACAGCAGAAGCCGCTGCCTGCGTGGCACTTAACTAAGGAACTGGATGAAATTGCAACTGTGGTAGGGCCACGCAAAAACTTCTGCTGTTGGATAAATGGGCAGGCTCGTCCGGAGTGGTACCAAGGGTTCACAGAAAACCTGGGTGAAGTGGATGTTATTATCCTTTCGTGTTTCGTGTGTGAGCGAGTCAATCGCGGCCCACTTTTTAATGGCTATCAATGGATCTGCACGCCCCTCGGGTGCTAGATGTCTATGGGCGGCGGTATCCACGTAACATCAGGTGGACCGCCGGCTCACTTGACTTTTCACATAAAAAATGGCACATTGGGGCTCATTCGCTCTCTTGTCTGCGGATAATTCTTGTACTTCACGCTGGTTTTCGAAGCCGCTTGTCAGATTCAATGGGGGATGACTGACCGGACAATAGTTCCGAAGTGGTGGCGGTGGCCTTGAGCTTCGCCCGGGACATGTGCAGGCGCCGCCACGAGAGCCCGTCGGACGCGTGGCCCGGGGCCTCCTCGCCCCAGCCGGGAGCGGCTGGCATCGCTAGCGCCACCTCACTAACGCTCTGAAAGGCGACACCCTAATTCATTTTGACTTCTATTTGCAGTATATTGGTGAAGGGCCTCCTCTCAATAGGGGATGTTCGGATGGATACAGATAGAGAATATCTCTCGCGGCACAGTTGAACATCTTTTATTAACCGACTTCAAAAACGGAGGAGGCTCTCAATTCGACTGTATTTTTTTCTATGTTTGTTACCTCAGAACCTTAGACCGAGTGAACTGATTTTGATGATTCTTTTTTTATTTGAAAGCTGCTATTAAAGCTTCATCGGACGCAGAATCGGTGGGCTATAGCAGCCAGCTTAGTAAGAAGTTCGGAAGTGGCTTTTCCGTTTTTTTTTTAATAATTCTCTCATTAAATTTTTATGCAATTGCGTCTTTTATACCGTTTACCTACTATGATATCCGGTAGGGAGAGTAAGGGCAGACTGCACATTTCGACGCGTCAATTTCACTTTAGTGACTTTTATTGCTTTTGTAGGAGCTGTATTTGCACACGTATGCTGCCATAATAAAATTGAATATACACACTAAAAGCGTAGATCACTAGACAAAAGAAGGAAGCACAAGTAATGAATTATGCTTATTGTAAAATGTCTGTGTCTCAAAAATTTTGAATGCCTGTTAGTGTGTGCGTTATTGATTAAACATTATTAGATGACGAAATACGCTAGTCCTCAAACATAAAATTCTTTTCTTCAATAAATACTGTTCAGGTATCAATTTCGTAGGGGGCTGTGTTGATCAAGGCTCGTATTGCCGATAAATCTTATTATTTCCGAATATATACGATTGTGTAGAGTTATGCGATAAACTGTACGTTATGGTGGCAATGACAATAGGTCTTACCGGTAATGCTTACGTAATGTTTTTGCGAAAGGTGTGCAAAGTACGCTCGCACGCACGTTTTAATGGCTCGAAAAGCAAACAGGTCCGTAAAACTCGAATGCTGTCGGACGTTTTAAAAACGTCAGGTTTCTTAGTCAATGTCAGAATCAATAAGTTTTTATTCGATTAACCCTTCTTATAAAGGCTCGGCCAGTCAAATTTTGAATCTTGGGAATTTAAAAGAAATTCTTAAGGGTTAAAAACCCTACCAACGCGCAACCAGAAGCGTAGTTAATTATATTTAAAATCTGTCAATATAGGAGGAAGTAGTTTCCATTTAATGACAATTATATTACGTCAAAAAACGTCTATACGTTTCAACGTAGACGTAAACGTAGTGATTACATTCTCCGTGATACGTTTGTTCTTTTGTGTACATTTGTGCATGTGAAAGTTCCAGCTTTGCACTGATAGACAAATTAAAGTTATGTCATCTTTCGTGTCAAAATTTAGGGAATATTAATACTTTAACACTTTTATTTCAATCTGTGGCATTTTAAGAACGCATCTGCTTATTAATGTTGAACATTGTTTTCGGTTTTATTCGCATCTTGATAATCCTTGGATTCTGTGGGTCGACGAGTAACTTGACGTTTAGCAGACGCTCCGCCCACTCGATTTAAATATTTGATCTGTAATTCTTGCTCACAGATTTTCATTGCTATATTATAGTAATGGAAACTGGTGCCATCGATTAACCTTAATATAGCAATTAGAATGTTATTATACAACATATATATCGGAGAAGTTGTTTCATTCGACCTTAACCTATATAAGGTAGGAGATGAAGGGGCCCATGGGACATTTTATCGACATATCCGGCTCCAAACTTAGTACTTCAACACTTTTATCTTGATATAAAATAATTATAGGCTTGTCTTGCTTAAGCACGTGGGGGCTTAAGTATGAACTGACAAATCGCCTAGCTCCAATAAGCTTACAAGCCAGTCACCGGCTGACATGGTTTGGATTTCCAACCTTTATCGACTGACTGCACTGGCAAGGGCTCTGAAGGTAGCCGGGACTCAACAGCACCGTGGTCGCCGTGGACTTGTTGGACAGCATTCCGTTGGGGGTGACGCTGCCGTTGGGGCTGCCCCCAGTCTTCTGGCAGATGTTGTCCAGGCTGTGGGGCGGGCTGATAGAGATCGTCGGGCTGTCTGTGAGACTCACCTTGAACCTAGAACCATTTGACAATGTTATGAGGTGCTCCCCGCATGATAGAATTTTTTAGACTGATAAAACTAATCCACCACCACCCAAGATGTTAGTACGAATACATCTGTCACATTATTAAATCTGTATAAATCTTTAAAAATTGAAAGCGTTTTCCTTAACCTTTTTATTTTAAAACTTTCATTCTTATTCATTATTATTAAACGCGATAAGTTTTAACAGTGTTTACGTAAATAAAACAAATTTTAACAATTTTTTTTCTAGATAAGGATGATTAAATATACATATTTGGTCAGTTATTCGAAATCAAAATTGAATAGCCTTTCTTTAAAATGCTGGGAGAACTTTAACTGTGACTATCGTTATTCATATTGGTTTGATTTGAATTGTGTTTTACAATTTTTATTTAGTCTTGCTCTCTGTTTATACTACTTTATCACATGTGATCATTGCGTTATCAGATTTTTTCAATTTACGTTCGACGAACCTATTTTCAAAGGATTTAGGGAGACGAGAAAACTATCGCAAAATGGAAAGTTGTCTAGTCAAAAATAATCTAAATGATAAGATTTGTATTCAGTTGTTCCTTGCTTTATATAAGTAAACTAGGGCTTAAATAGTAAATGTTAACATTAGATTAGTTTGTGTCACGTGGAGTTTTATTAATAAATCAGCAAGGCTGACGCTTCTGTTGTTGCACGAATGGGCAGGCTTGTATGGGGAATTACCACGGCCTAACAGAAGACCATTCACGCTGGTGGTGGAAGTGCTACGCTTGCCATGAAGAAGCTTCTCATGAAGAAAATAAGGACTTTAATTAACATTAAACGTTAATTAAGTGATAATTTAAACTGCATGATTTTATACCAAATACTAGCTGTTCCATACGATTTCATTCCCGAGAATCGTTTCTGCTTCGCCCCCGTAGATTGTGCACCTATACTTCAGCAAGAATTAGGCCATCAAATACGAACGATATTTTCAAAGCTGGCTGGTAGTTCCAGTGATTAGGAAGTTGAAAGAAACAAATAGACAAACGCTTCAGCTTTATTATTTTAATATAGTAATATAAAAGTATAGATTATAAAGCGCAATGTACTTGTATTATTATCAATCATGTCAGTTTGCGGTTAGATATTCTTGTGAGTTTGTGCCACAATATCATATGACAGAAATTCCAGTTTGTGCCTCGACTCTGAGTATGTACATACATTGAATGTTAGTTACACATGTATGTATACATTAAATATTAAAGTGATAATAAGGATATTTATAACGCTGGGAAGCCTAATTACTTTTACTCCCCAGTTTAGGTGTATTGGTAATGCTTTCGTACGTGTTAAGTTTACCGCAATCTGGAGTAGAAATAGCATCATTGGTATAAATAATATCAACTCGTTTCCCATCTCGACGATTACGTTTAGAATCTCCGACATAGAAAAAAACAAAATGGCGTGTTAATTATAGTTGAACTGTTAACATTCGAGCTTAATTGATTCCAGGTAGCCAATTGTTCATCAATGTCCGCCTGTTAGAGCATTGTAGCTAATTACGTAGCACCCGTGCGATAGTTACCTAGAAATTGAAAGCCTTCTTTATTTTTAACAGTAGTGCCGTTGAACTAATAGCATATTAATGACCTGCTAAATAACTAACTGCTAGCGTTAGTAATAAATAGTTATAGAATTTTACAAGGACTAAATTAATTAGACTGCTGTTGAGAAATACACGCATATAGCAAATAATCGCCAGTTTAGATCTTTGATTGTGGCGATAACTCTCATTGTGATCGTAATCGTTTAAGGCTATTCCTAACTATTGCTTTTTTAAATTTTTCTAAACTAATTAGTTTCGTTTTTGTAAGCAACATCTTTACCTACACAAATAATAATAATTATGTAAGTACTTCGAAATTTTATATTCCGATTTGTGACTCGTATAACTTGAATAAATAAACACAAGTATCTCGTCATAGTGCAAACCAGGTAGAAGAATGCAATGTGATTTTTTTCTATTACTAAGATTCCGATGTCTGTCACTCTGTGCGTCTGGCAGACTGTATCTCATGAACCGTGATAGTTAGCATTCTCTGTTGCCGCTATAACAACAAATACTAAAAAACAAATTAAAAAAAATTGTTAAGTGGAACTCCTATACAGGGGACATGATTTTTTTGCCGTTTTTATAGGTAATGGTGCGGACCCTACGTGCGCGAGTCCGACTCGCACTTGGCTGGTTTTTAATATGCATTAATAGGAATTGTTAGTAACGAACATACCCGCTCGATTGTCATCTTTCTGAAACTCATTTTTGATATTCAAATTATTAAAAAATTTATAATGGTGAAAAATTTCTAAGATTAGTGAAGTCCGCCAATGAGTGATCATGCCTTATTACCCTCTGTGTCACGGATTAGAAAATAACACATCGAACGATTTGTGTCATTTGAGGGAGGTATCCCTACCTACCATATAAATGAATTTTCGCCAATGTTTTTTTTAAATATTTTCCAAGTTAAGTGTTTCATAAGCAATGATGATTGTTTGTCAACAGTACTTACATGGTTTTTAAGGTGAACTGTTACGTAAATCGTCGATAACTATGCAGTTTCCACTTACGAGTACAACGATCGAAAAACGTGCACTGGCATACTGAAAACTTCGTCTATTGAAATAAATACCAGCGATTTATGGTGATGAATATATTGTATTTATTAACTATACACTCGGTAGATTTATTATAATGTTTGCTGTCGTTGTTTACTTCTAGATTTTCCTTCTGACTTCTTATCATTTCAACTAATCAAGAACCTTTAATAAAACAGCCGTAAATTGCTGTGTTCTCTAATGAATAAACAATAAAACTATGAACTGTGCTCTTTATTATTGCGGAACTGTCCATGGCCAGGCGGACGTAGGTTCAAATTTATTGAAGAAAACAATAAATGCTCATCCTTTTTTATGATCAAAATAATAAAAGATAACAAGTTCAAAACCCGAAACGTCAATACTTTGAATATATTTATACACTAGCTTATGCCTGCAACTTCGCCTAATGAAAATGAAAATGAAAATTTCCTTATTTCATCTTTTGAACTCTACGAGATTTCGAAATGCAATTTACATAAGCACCTTTAAAGGTCTAGATTTTAAACCCTAATATGTACTAAAATCAATTGAATCATTTGATCCGAAATGGATTCTAGGAGAAAAACTTTCAGAAGGACGTACGAAAATTGTAAAAATGAAAGCTTCACTTATATTTTGGTATTATTTTAGAAAACCGGTTTTATTTTTTACAATATTTAAAATAATAAAAAAAGAGCAAAATAACTATAGAGTGGGTAGTTATGGAGCATATTCCACCACGCGACTCCACATCGGATTGGCAGACTTCATATATCACGAAACATTTTCATTTTTTTTTTGTTATTACGTCGAAGACATGCAGGTTTCCTCACGATCGCGACGTTTTCCTTTACCGCTAAGCACGTGACACTTAAAATTGCAATTAATAATTTCATTAGTGCTAGCACCGCGATTTGAACTCAGTTTGCACGACTATATGTAATCATTAGCGAGTGCCCTCGGAGCTATCACTCCTAGGCTCGGCTCTATTGCCTACTATTTAAAATACATATTGATTGAAAACTAATTTCTTCCTGACAAAAAACCTATTGTATGTAGCAATCCTATTTGTATGTAGCAATCGAGTACATTTTGATAACACATTATTGAAATTCAATCGATTTGTGAGCGATACTTGTCTATCAATTAACTAACTTATTTGTAATTTTAAACTCATTTACTTTATCATAACATAAGTTCCTACAAGTTTGTATGACGTTCAAATATTCTTTTTAAACTCAACAGCTAAGAACCGATCTGAGGAGTAATGAACCTAATCGATTATTCCACTTACGTCTTGTTAGGCTCGCGTTGCGACTCCAACGCGCTATTAGTCACAACATGCAAACGGGTATCCTTACTTGGTCGGCGTTCCGCTATCATAGCTCGGCGGTTTCCCGATGCTGGGGTAGGACTCGCTGAGCCCGAGGCTCTTTGGCCTGTGCTCGTGCCTGTGGCGGTGTGCTTTGTGCGATCGCTCGTAGATGTGGTCGGTTGTGTGGTACCTTTGCAGCGTGCGCGGCCGTGGCTTCCCGCTGGGCGGCGTCTGCGTGCATTGGTCGACGCGGCTAGCGTCCTCAACGCTCGTTACGTAGCTGGCTTCCGATACCTGAGCAGGACATAGATTTCTTATTAACACAGCGTTTATAGGAAAAAATATAGTTTTTTTTATGCGAGAAGATGGCAAACGATCGGTTTACCTGATGGCAAGCGATAACCGCCGCCTGTGGACATTCCCAAAACTCGTACGGTTGCAGATGCGTTGCCATCTTTTAATTAATAAATTGGGTCCTGGCTACCTCACTCATCAGACGTAAGGCATAAATCTGTGATACTTCCACGGACGACCATTTAGAAGAAGAATTGCTGGGCCACACAGCAATTCTTCTTCTAATTGGTCGTCCCTACCACAGTTAATGTTAAGATTATGCGCGCTTTATATACTGTTTAATAACCTTAATAGTATTATGTATGTTTGAGAGAAAGTTATTTATTCGCTCCTCATGCTGCTCTTTTACGGCTATGGCCTTAGAGCGCACACTTATGTGACATTGCACGCCCCTAGGATTACATTCCTGATTAAAATGGATCGAAACAGATAAAGTGAATGTTTAGGTTAAATCTAATTTTGCTTTGTTTGTGCACAAGCAGTGGCGCAGGCCTTTGCCTTGTTGGCGTATTACAAAATTACATCACCGCTCGCCATTAGACGGGTGGGAACCCGTAATAAACAAAACAACAGGTCGACATTCCATCATCGTGCCGTTAATGCAGTATGTTAGTGCCGGTCGATGACGGTATGACATTAGCGAATAAAGGGAAAAAAATTAAGCGTCGCAAACGATCCGTAACACGAGCGTTGAACGTGGGAGGACGACTAGAGGCCTGCAATTTAGCCGATTGTTTGTTGAGGATTACGCGTGCCGGTTGACATTGCGTTTGGGCAGTCGTGTTGGATGAGGCGCAGATGTCGATACAATGTTCGGCGAGGGTCGGATATCAAAGTCTTTCTAACACTCAATATTTAAGTCACAGTAAAATATGAAAACATTCCTGACAGACAAAAAAACTTCCATCATTAAAATGTATTCTCATTGCAATCCTTCGCTTCCTACCTTTGTGAAACAAATGTAAAGTACCTGGAGGACCGAGCTTCGCTCGGTTTGTTTGTTTTTTTGGTAAATCGTGTATTTTGGAAATTACATTTAGATACAAATTACTGCGTATTGAAAATATGCATAATATTTTTCGATCTTACCGACGTAATAATAAGAAAATATGAACTGGTGTTTTTCACAAAAGAAAGAACTTTAAAAAAAAAGGAAGAAAAGAACAAAATCATCTAGATCGACGAAAATAAAAAATAAAGACAGTAATGATCTGGAATCATCTGGAAAGTGTGTAAATGATCGTGACTCTAACCACGGCCTCCTGTTTCGGGGCCGCCCGATAAACGACGGAGCTATTATAACATTTTTTTTTCGGTGAAATTTACGTCGTATTCGAGTGATATTTTTCATTCCCTGAAAACTGGGATAAAACGACATTTTCTACAAATAAAACCTAGCCAGATCGATTTTTCGCCCCCGAATCTAAGCACACTAAATTTCATGAAAATCGCTGGAGCCGTTTCCAAGATTCCGATTATATGTATATATACAGCGTGTCGTTAGCACCGCGACAATAAATGAACACACATATAGAGGATAACTTTTTAAAATTGTATTAAACATTTACATTCTTTAAACATCAATATTTACCGAGTTATTAAATTCTCCAAAACAAACAATTTTAGAACACCCTTACGAATAAAACTGTAACCTAAAGTTCATTTGTAAAGGTCACAAAGCGTATGAATGGGTTGAATGAATTTAAAAGACAAAACATACTGTTAGAAGGAGAGGCTTGTAATGCGCTGTATATATGTATATATATATATATATATATATATATATACTTACTACAATATAACAATTTTATGTCTTTTTATCTGTTTAAGGAATTAATTAATGGTCATTGGTTCCGAGTTCAAAAACGTCAATTTCTTACCTCTACATTGGGTGCAAGAAATCAGAAGCGGAAATATCATTAAGTTATTTTGAAATCACAGCACAATCTTATATATGTATACGTATATGTAGCGCTGTCTCATTTTAATCAATTGTATTACTTCTCTGATATAGATCTACAAAGTGTGTCTTTGCGGTTACAAATGTGAGTAACAGAATAATTGTAACTGAAGATAACAGAATAATTTACTTATCTCTACCAATGAGCAACATCTGTCACTGTCGTAATTAATGGGGAAATTCAATATTATCACAAGTTATGAGTCATTTTACCATAGAGTTGTCGTATCCAAGGTTCGCTGCACAAGGGACAGCTTTTGATTTACATTGATAGACAAATATTGATATGATTAAGTCATTAAATGATATTCTCAGTGAAATTACTGGTAATTTTATGTATGTCGGAAAAACTATTAACTGTTCTGTAAGTATTGTTACATATCTTAGGATGTCTTTGCTATTTGAAAACATGCAAAAGCGACAATACTATACTTATTGTATAGTGTGTACATGTTAATAATTGTACTGTCTGATTTGTGAGTTTATAATAAGAAACTATATGAAAAGTACGCTGCAAGAATAGCAAGTTTAAAGAAGCGTGTACGATAATGAATTAAACCGAATTACTCATAATTAAGGGACGGTCGTGAATAGAAAATGTATACCAAGTTTTATAACTCCACAAACAATAATTTTATAATAAAGTCTATTCATGAGTAGGTATGTATCTATAAGACGCAGTCGACAATTCGCATGTTTGTGTGACTGCGCACGATTTCTGCGTTGGACAAACGATCGTGCATCACTTGAGATAAGAATAAAAAAACGAGAAAATTAAAAAACAACACGAGCGCATCACTCGACTTTTCATCTACATGCAATACGGTTACAGGTAATTTTTTCGCCTCCCATCTTAGTAAATAATTAAACAATAAGTTATATTAAAATGTTCGTATCAGTAGAAAGAAAAACTAATCAATGTTTGTGGCTTCCTCCCTTCGTATTGTAATTGTAAAAGACAAATAATTGTGTTTCACTTGTATTACACAAAATAGCCGGACAAACATATATATAAAATGTATATAACAAATAAATATGTTTACCTTTACCATTAAGAGTAATCAGAAATATCAAAATATCCCTAATATTACGTTACTTTAATGCACTCTTCACTTCTTAGGTTCCAAACATATCGACTTTGCGCCCAAGGTACGACAGCGATTTTATTCAGTAGCACCTGATTGACCAAAACTAAAACGCAAGGCGAGATTATGATGTTAATTCACCGAAATTGCATAACTCTAAAATAGGGTCATCGACAATAATAATTGTCGTAAAGTTTTGCCCTAGAAAGACATCATGGTCATCTAACCACTTGATCACATCGTACTCAATAACGGATTGCATACTGAAATGCACTTCAATAATCAAATAAAGGGTTCTATAGTACCTAACTGTTGCAAAATTTTATGTAACAGTTTTTGTTAAATCTAATTTCCGAGTAACGTGCCCATAAATGGTGATATAATTCTCTTGATCAATGAATAACTTCAGATAGATATTCTTTGTCATTGTGTAACTTTTTTACGAATAGAAGTTGACAAAATATTATTGCTTGATACGAAGATAATAAATTCAAACTGAAGTAAAAATAAATCAAACTGGACAGAGTTTTGCTTAAACTAATATTATAAATGAAACAAAGCAGCTTGGCTTTGTCTGATATAAGCTAAGAGAATGCACAGCCCTTAGAGATTTGCTGACTATATTCCCTGCACGTTTAATCAACCTACTAACTTCCCAGGTCAGGTAATGTATGCCTTCTTGCAATGGGTAATGAGTACTGAATGAGTTTATATTTATTCCTTATATTTACAGAGAGTATTAAAAGTTTATCTTTGAAATATATTTAGATATATTTATCTAACAGATGACGAGGAAGCTCTATTGTATTTTTTTTATTTGAAACTGGCCACCGCTTGGCTGCCATCCCACCTGGTGGTAAGTGACGATGCAGCCGTTGATGCGCTAGCTCAGTAAAAGCCTATTCTCTCTCCTTGAAGATGCAAATGTTATAATCGGACGGCAAGATGGACGCCAGCAGGTTGTTCTAATCCTTACCTGTTCGGATGATGAACGAAGAGAGTTATTGTGCATCGACAGCAAAAGGGTGGAGCCCCGCTGAATGCCTAATTGTACGATGATGAAAAGGGGCGGGAGGAATCAAATCGTGCAGTGCACTCTCTAAAATGCATCCTGTAGAAAAACAAGAGGTTGGCTATTCTGCGCCTATGCTTAAGGCTAGTGAGATTGGTTTAAACCAAATTTGGAAGTATTGTGTCTCAGAAGATTGGCGTCACCCTATTAGTAGACCGCCTGCAATGTAAGATTCAAACGCTCTACTATGGTCTCTCTTTCGGACTGGATGAGATCTCTACTGACCGGAATAATCGGTTGGTATTTCCCCACAACTGTGCTGTCGTTTGCATACCCATAGACACCAGCATGAGCAGATCATTAATATGCAGCAAGAAAAGAGTTGTGGAAAGCACAGATACCTGGGGAACTCCGGTATTAGTCGCCATTGAACAGCCCTCGACAACTACTCGGTAAGACCGTTCACATAGAAAGCCCTTTGCCTACCCGATTAGGCCAGGAGATATGCTGTACTCTGGAAGCTTGCCAAGTGGTCGCTGAGCAGTGAAGGTAGTAACTTGCTTCCAGTGTCTAGATGTGAATTTTGGGCAAATAGAGAGGCAAATAAATCGCCCTTCTCTTTACCCGCATGTGTCAGTGATCCATCCGATTTTACCAGCAGTGATGGATTATCATGAAATATTTTACAAAAGACTTAAACTTTATTTTTCTTTGTATGCCACCAAATTTGAAATTGTTAAAAATGTGCCGCGACAAAAAAATGTTGAGGATCACTGCGATAACTGTTTAAAAGGTGGATTTTAGCTTCCTCGCCGGGTTACCTAGTGACTTGTAATAATTGGAAACAATACAAAAAATGAATGTATAGATAGTGTCTCTACTG